GGCAGAAAATGCCCAGTCAGCGCCCATTGGAGCTTGCCAACACAGAGACCTGTTTCTTATTTCATCCGGCAGAGTGTAGAGCTGTAGTTACCATCACTAAGGTGGAGAGCTTGGCATCCCTCCAACAACTGATACTGCGAATTCAGCAAGACAAAACGAGGCGATCCCAGTTGTGAGACAGAAAAACAGGGGTGTGTATATTCTAATGGTAAGCCATGGTTAATACACGGCGTTAGACAGGTATTGGTATTTTGTGTACTCTTGAGTCCAGTAAGAATATAAATGAATCTCTACATTTTTCTATGTGAAAATTCTGGTTCTACATTCCCCAGATAGGTTTACTGACTCAAAAACTGAAGCCCCAGAATTCTAGTAGCTAAGGCAGTTAAAACCAAAAGAATGCAGGTTTACCTTGCCTAGTGAGAAACAGAACCCAGTATCCTCTAATATAGCAGTCCTTGACCTTTTTTGGCACTAGGGACTGGTTTCATGGAAGACAATTTTTCCTTGGACTGGGGTGGGGTGGGGTCGGGGGATAGTTTTGGGATGATTCAAGCACATTACATTTATTATGCAGTTTATTTACAGTTCATGGAATTCTCCAAGCCAGAATACTGGAGTGGGTAGCCTTCCCTTCACCAGGGAATCTTCCCAACCCAGGGATCGAACCCAGGTCTCCCACATTGCAGGCAGATTCTTTAGCAGCTGAGTCACAAGGGAAACCCCTCACTTATTTCTATCATATCAGTTCTACCTCGGATCACCAGGCATTCGATCCCAGGGGTTGGGGGCTGTTGAGTCCTGCGCCAAGGACACAGGGGCAAGGCTTTGCACCAAGGCCAGAGAAGTGGAGCCCAGAACCAAGGTCACCTCCAAAGCTGACTAAGCTCCTTTGTAATCATTGCCAAAAGCCCCTGTGATCACTAACAGGCTTCCTGACTCCAAATTAAGCAAAAATGCCCATGCCAGTAGTCACCCTACAGCTCCTTAATCAATCACCTAATGCCATCCTTCCAGCAGGAATTTTGTGGGAGCTATAAAAATTGGTTACTAACCCATGAAAAGCGACGGCTCTCCCTGGTCTGTCAAGGAGGTCGGCCTACTGCACTCACAGAGCCCACATTACCCCTGGTCTTTGTTCTAATAAACTCACTCCCTTCTGAAATGCTGTGTGTCTGGAAATTCTTTTCCAGTCTGAGCTTGGACTTCCTCAATGGGGGCCCCTACTCTAATAAACATTTAAGAAGTCATATATGCTTTTTACAGCTGGGAGAGAAGTCTATTTCTGTGGTTCCTTCTACCCTGACACCTCCTGCCAACACACTGGGTAATGTGCGTTGTCAGTAGTGACAACACAGAATCCCAGAAGGGGCGGCTCTGTGAACAGAGCAGTGGCCCCGAGCTACCACATTCATCAGGGATACCATTCCAGCAAGCCTGCGTGTTCACACCTCATCCAGGGGTCAGGGTCTCAGGCAGACCCCTAGGAACTCCAGGGGGGTGGGGAACTGAGTCGTAGACGTCCCACTCTGGTGCATGGAGATCACGGGCCTGAGACTACGAGGTCTTCAGTTGTCTCCCTGAAATCCCTGGGCATCTCCCCTTTGCTCTAAGCTGTTCTTTTCTTCCTGCTAAAGAGCAAAACTGACTGTTCGAAGGGCATCATCCCATGTCACCAAGAACCTCCTTCCTACTTGCCTAAAGTAAGTTCACACAGCCCATCAATGAGACTGCGTCATGACGCAGGAAATGAAAGCCCGCACGCACACTTGGTTCTTCTCAAACTATAAGCTTTTATTCTATTTTATATGTCACTCATCCAGAACATGACGAGTATATGGGTGGCATCATTCATACTCAATGTGAAATGACGTAATGCACACAAGTCACTTGCCCTTTGCTGGGCCCATGTGTACGAGGCAGGAAAGAGCGCTCACGAAGCCCACCTTGAACGGTGGCCTGCTGGGGTACTGGATGTGCTATCCTCATTTCCCAGCTCTCACACGCTCCCTGGAGTTAGATGGGTTGAGATGGACATTTGGCTTGGAACTGAAGTTTCTAATTTTACACTGCTGAGTACAGCTGGACTGTTTCCCAGCCTACTTCAGAATCAAGATGCTGCCCACTCTCTCTACTGTGATCATTCTGAGTGTGGGATTTATTATTCACCACGCTGTCCTTCAAATCAAACAGAGAAAAGCAGGCCTCAAGACCACAAGTCAGGAAAAATTGGGAAGTGTTCCCTTTCTCCATCCTGCTCAGTTTTTCCCATAACCTGTTCCGGCCTGGAAGATGAGAGCTTCCCGTCACTGATGGGATACAAATGTGGGAGAAACAGCTTTGGTCTTAAACAAGAGGCCAGAGCCTTCTTCCCTCTCTAATCTTGCTACCTGTGTGCCTCACACCTTCCTTCCCAAGCAGGGGGACCACTGGCAGTGAACAGTTCAAAGGTTCACCAAAATCGGGGCTTTAGACGATGTTCAACACAGCACAGCAGCAAAAACAGATACTGAAGGGGCTCCACCACAGCTGAGCGCCTACTTTGCAAAGGTCAAAACCGTCCCTGTTTTGGTAAACTTCCTAAAGTCTGTTCTACCCCATACACTGTGACAAACTTCCCTTGCCCAAAAGACTGCGACACCGGGTCAAAAAAGGTGGATAAGAAATAAATTCTCAAGCTACAGGAATACGACAGTTTGTTAAGTAAACCATCATGTGACCCTCACCTGCACACAGATCAGAGTGGGGAAACTGGAGGCGGAGTGGAAAAGAGAAATGCTCATGCTGTGTGATTTGATCAAGGGCACAGCTCATAAAAATGCCAACAATCTGGAATTTTCCTATAAAAAGTTGAGGAAACATGCCAATAGCCAGAAATGAGATGACTTAAATGCCAACAGTTTGACCTGTTGGCACTAAGCCAATGTTCTCAGAAGAAAAGGAGGATGCTTCCTCTGGGGCCAGGGGAGCTGGTCAAAAACCCCGCCTATCACACAGAAAGAGAGGGAAGGGGGGCGATCAGCAAAGAGCAGCTGCAAAGTGTTGAGGGCCAGGGATTTGAAACCAGTGTCAGCTAAGAGTTTACCATGTGGACCCCAGGATCTCTCACACTACAGTAAAAACAGATGTATTCTTCCAAAGTTCTCCCTGTATATGCTGTAACGTGGGGCAGAGATGAGGTTACACAGGCAATGCCAGAGGTGGTCTCCCCACTCTAGACATCTGCAGCAGTTCATTTACAGTAACCAGGTGGGAGGGCTATCTGACTGAAGAAGCACAGTTGCTGAGTTACACTCAATCAAGAAGGTATCTGAGAAAGATCGTCCACTCTGGACCCCATGGGCATCTGGGACAGACACATCTGTCAGTGAGGGAGGAAGATCACCCCTGTAGAACCTGTCAGATTAAGCCCACATGACAGAGAAGGGTTTCACAGCCTGATCACCCTAAGAACCAGCTTGGGGAGGGAACTAACAAGCATATTCTAAGAAGTTACAGATTAGTGTCCTCCCAAATAAAACATAAGTCTTTATTGTTACATTTCCAACTCACAGAATTCCAGGCTATCATAGACATATATACACAGATAATCACTAATCTATGCAGTTATCTTCTGCACCCTCTCTCAAAATTTGGCCCAAGATGTTTTCCAGTTCAACCCCACACACCAACTCGGGATAAACAGAAACGCTGAAGTCTTGTGGTTTAACCCTCTGTTCCAAAGTACTATTAGAGGTGGAATATCTGTTGGAGGAGGTGCTTTTGCTGGGTTGGAACAGAGCTGAAGACTTCTGGGTGTGGTTAAAGTGTGAAACTCTCTGCTTTCTGACCCACAGACATTGTGTCTTTCCTCTTCATTGTTTTGTCTCTTTCCATAGCGGTTGCCTTACAGGTTATCATAGAGATCGCTCTTCTATTCAGAATCACCCTAGAAGGCAGGTGGTTCAGATGAGCAGGACTGTTAACCTATTAAGTTACTGAGTCTACAACTGAGGAATCTGAACTCTGGGATTACCACTCAAAATAAATATTATTTCAAAGTAAATAACAAACTACTTGGCTGGCAAGTGAAATGCCTAAGTCTTTCTAAACCATAACTGCCAATAGACTCGGGCTTTATGCTACATCCCAAGACAGAAATCAGGTAACCTACATCTTCAGAGGAATTCACAAAGCACTCCTTCCTGTTTCTTCCCTCAACGCTGAGAAATGACTCTGGAGCCAGAAGCTGTAATATACAACTTGGGGCTCAGGTAAAAACTGCCCTAAGGCCCAACCCTGATTAACACCGACTATTCTTTTTCTTAAGTCTAATGGTGCCTGCGTGGAGGCTCTCAATGGGAAAAGGAAGGATGTAGCAGGTGGAAGCTTGGAGAATCTGAGAGATGAGGGCAGATCCATTAACAAACTCGGATGGCACTATGGGACATGACCACTGAAGCCAGTTATCTTCTGAAAATATCACGATCACTTCAAAACCCATATCTTTTTTTTTTCCTTAATCAGGAAGTCAGGGGTGAGAGGAACATTCTCTCATTGTTGTTGCTCATCAACACGTTCTTCTTAACAGAACTGAGACTATTTTAAGAATATGAGGAGCTTTTCAAGACATCTGTTTTCAGGACAGACTGCAGTAATAGAAATACTTTCCAGAGTTGGTTCGTTCTAGAGTCTATTCCAAGAACAGGGGCGGCCAACTTTTGTGAGGTTCCAAGGCATGTTCTGGCAAAAATATTTTCACTTTCCTAAAGTTATATGCTGTCTTAAAGTCCAACTATACTGTATACACATTTATATATACATATATATATATTCATCTGATCCTTTTCTGACAGCAAAAAAGGGAACGCTTGTTTTAAACTCCAAAGTTGGTAATATTTGTAGAATATTATGAAGGCAGAATTTTGGTTGGTTGTTTTTTTATGACTCAGAACACAGATGAAATGAAAACTGCTGCACACTGCCCCAAATTCACATCTTTAAAAGGTCCTTTTCTCCATTCACATGAATTCGTCTGAATCATTGCCATCCTGTAGGAGACAAAACAGTGAAACCATAAAAGCCTTCAAAATAAGTAACTCAGTATAAAAACTTTCATGTCAGTATTAAGGAACAAGCTTCCTTACAATGAACTGTACAATTCAATTAAAAAGTAAAATAATTAAATTCAGTCATTTCTCCTCCATCTTAAATTGTCAGTTGTTTAGAATGGCGACAAGAGCAGTTGTGTTCTCGAAGGTGTCATCACTGCATGGCCTGGATTGCCCGGCAATGAGAGACCAGTGAGTCCCAAAATGTGAAGTGAGGCCCAGCGACTTACTATAGGGTGTGGAAAACAGGACTGCTTCAACGAACAGACCACAATATGAAACAAAACAAATACTGACTCAATGCTTTAATGCCAACAAAGCTATAAATATGCAAAAATATTTTGACCTAAATTCCATTATTTTGAGCCTCGGGGGTATCATGTATTTGTTATTTCACAAGGTGGCTTCTTTTTTTTTAATAGAAAAAGTCATCCAGAAGCTACAGGCTAGTTACCAAGTTAGCTGGCTTGCCAAGTTTTTGATTAGGAAAAAAAAATCCTCACATGGCAGTGGTATCTGTGTAAGGACTGACTTCATTGTGTATAAACAAGCCCGGAGACCAAGCACGAAAGCAAACCCCGAAGCTCCTTTCTGGGCTTCCCCGGTGGCTCAGACGGGAGAGAATCTGCCTGCAATAATGCAGGAGGCCCGGGTTCGACCCCTGAGTCGGGAAGATCCCTTGGAGAAGGGAATGGCAACCCACTCCAGTGTTCTCGCCTGGGGAATTCCATGGACAGAGAAGTCGGATGGCTCCATAAAGTCCAGAGCATCGCAAAGAGTTGAACACAGCCGAGTGACTTTCACTGTGAAGTTTCCTTCTGAGCTACTGCATACCCTAAGACAACTGCTCTGGACGCCAACATTCAATAATACTGTGAGTTCTGGTACATTTGCCTGAAAATGTCATAAACTGAACACAACATTGTTCTGGCTTCTCTCTCTTTCCCATGCTTTATACCTGCCTTGATAGAGAGGGAGGGGACTTCGGCTTACAGGTATGCGACATGCTTTTCTCCTTAATAGCTTGTGTTAAAGATAGGCAGGGAAGCAGGGGAGAAAGTAGAAAACAGTGCTTTCTGGGAAGTCTGGCTTGATTTCCATTCAGCGGGCTTCTCTGTGCTTCTCTTCAATTAGCACAATGAACCAAGGCCACAGTGGAAATGCCTTGGATAATTGTACAAAACGCCAGCTACTGTTTGTAGTCTATCCACGCATGCGAACTCTGACTGCCCAAGAGTTCTACACTGGAATAACAGTGTCAGAGATGTTGAAAGAGTCATCCTATACTTCTGAAGGTCAGCTTGAGATCCCAAACACTAAGATCCCCAAAACTCACTAAGATAATGTGGCTTGGTGCCAGTCAAAGTGAATTACTCCCTACAAAACCTGTGAGTTAGATCTGCAGAGTTCCCATGTGTCTGGGGATCTGTGCTTTTTTGGGATTATAGTAACTTTTAAATGTATAGCTGCAATCCAAGACTTGATTTGGACAATTTCTGTATTTTAGATTCCCTTTAAGAGTTAAAATATTTTTGGGGCAGATTCCCTGGAGAAGGGAATGGCCACCTACTCCAGCATTCTTACCTGGGAAATGACATAGGCAGAGCAGCCTGGTGGGCTACAGTCCATGGGGTCACAAAAGGGTCAGACACGATTTAGCAACTAAACAAGAGTCAACATGCTTTTCAGTGCAGCAGAGCAGGGTTCTAGTCATCCACTTAGAAAGTGATAGGCAAATAAAATGTCACAAGAAACGGTTCATGGTTCCTGATACCAAATTTAGAAGTTAGAAAGAAATGATAGATGGAAGAAAATTATTCTAAACAGGAGAGCAAAAATTCAAAATTAAAACCAACCTCAGGGTGGAAGACTAGTATTTTTCCTGATGAACTTGTGTAAGCTAAGTTAAAAATTAAGTTGTGTCTTAGGTAAACACCAGTCTTTAGCTGAAAATAACTGACCAAGCTGTGGATTCAAAAATTTCTGTGTCGCCTTAACAGAAGATGGTTACAAGGAGAACGAAAGTCCATTCTTTTAAAGAAGGAGGAAGAGCTATGTGAGCCCTTGCACTGTGAGAGAACGGAAACACCCAGCACAAAACTTCCTCGGAAATTTGAACCTGGTTCCAACACAGGCCTTGGGAACAGCAGCAGCAGTGACAGAGGGAGAGGAAAGGCAGGAAGGTTAATAATCCTTTGGTCTACAAACCTGACTTTCTAATCCTGGAACTTTTAACAAGTCACTAATTGGGTAGTGTCTGTACACAGATGTATATTTGTGTGTGTATATGGTGTGTTTCTTAATTCCAAAACAACATCCAAACTTTGAAAATCCATAATGAAAATGCCTAAGGTCATAACACAATCTACATGCCAGATTTCTGCTGGGCAGTTGTCTCTAAATAACAGAAAACTTCAATAGCAACAACAACCACAGCAAAGACATCAGACCTGGATTATGTTAACAACTTCTGCTCAACTGTTAAACTGTTTTCTCAGAGTAGTTTCCAGAAGGGATTAAATACACCTCATCTCTCGATACTGATGCTCTGTGGATAAATAACAACCAAAGACTATATGGATAAGAAATAATAATGACCATTTACAGAGTGTCTAAGTCAAGGAAGAACTTTCACATACATGACTTCCCTCTTTTTTTTTCCCATTTATTTTATTAGTTGGAGGCTAATTACAGGGAATGTCTTTGTTGCTTATTATTTTATTAGCCTTATTAATTTCATCTTTCCTCAAATATTTGAAAATATTTGTTTCAAATATCTGGGAATTTTTATGTTATATATATATATGGATAAAGCTGAAAGCCACTGTTGAGTCAAGACTGTATAATAAAATCAGTACAGTATTTTTCAGTTGAATGATTTGTCAAATCAGATTTTAGGTTATTTATAAAAATATTTTAAGAAGATAGTACACCCATATGTACAAATGTGTGTGATAATTTGTTATGTAAGGGATTTTATGATAATGAGACCTTTTTGGTTTGATCTGTTTTTCTCAGATAAATAACTAGTAACATTTTACATCAAGTGTATATAAAGTTTGAATTTTTTCTCCATAAATGCAACTAATTTTTCTAAGTAAATACTGGGTTTTATGAGCTTCCCCAGTGGCTCAGTGGTAAAGAATCCACCTGCAATGCAGGAGATATGGAGACCTGTGTTTCATCCCTGGGTCGGAAGATCCCCTGTAATGGGAAATGGCAACCCACTCCAGTAATCTTGCCTGAAAAATTCCATGGACAGAGGAGCCTGGTGGGCTGTATAGTCTGTGGTGTCACAGAGTTGGACACGACGGAATACCTAAGTAACACCTGGGTTTTATAACATAAAAACAGGGTATCAGTATTATGTATTCAGCAGGCGACAGTGTGGGGAACTATTGAGCAGATAAGTAGTGCATGAAGGCATTAACACTTGCAGATTAAGAACCATTCTGCCTGCTGATCAATTCTGAAGGCCGCTTGTTTTGTAATGCTGGATCTGGATTTTTTGTGCAAGGGGGATGTGGTGGGTAATCTGTTACTTTAAAATTAAAAGAGAAGCATTAAGCAATAAAATAAGATGCAGTGAAATCTAGTTATTGTAAATTCCCACTATATTTAAAGTATTGTAAAATAACTTATTGGCTATTTTTTTCTAGCAGAGTAAATAGAATTTTCTTGATTATAGGTATATTTTTTATTTTTAAATGGCCAATATGGTTATGGACAGGATTTGTATGTTGCAGCTTCTGTTCCTTCATAAAACTTGAGATAAAAATTGTTTTAGCTATAACCTAAAATTAAAGTCTGAAAAATGGCACATGTTAAGTTAAAAGCAGCATGTACAAGTTTAGTTTGCTGTGTGATGCTGATCTCTTAGGGAGATCTGATAAGCTTTCTTTTGTCCTGACTTAGAAAAGTATATGTCAGAGTTTTGGAATATGTCTGATTTACTTCAGTGAATTTTATCTGCTTAAGTATGTTTATAACATATAAAGCAAATAAGGATGTGTAACTATAGTGAACAGTACAGTTTTGTTCATATTATCTAATGTTTGCTAAAAGAAAAAATAAAAGATGAATTAAATCAAAAAAATAAAAATAAAAAAAAAATAAATTCTAGAACAACCCCATTAGATAACATGTCTCTCTTTACTACTGATGAATTGTCCCTTGGAGAGGTTAAGTAACTTTATTAGTCTTATCCAATTAAACAGATGGTTTAAGCCTCAGAACTTCAAAGTCAAGGCTCTATTTAATTACCAAATACTACTCTGGAATTTTTCACGAATAAATTATAAAGGTACATCTCTGACTCATAAAGGAGCCCCGTAACTTTAGTTCTCCAAAGGGACAGGAATAAGAATGCTGTTCTTATCAATTTTTAGAAGGACATTTACAGATGAACAAGGTGCAAAATGCTATTAACAATTACAATTCACACACTGAATATGGAGTTTGGCGAGGTGACCTTTAAGGAAACTTAAGTTCTGTTATTTCTAAGCATCTAAAGCAGTGTTGCTTAACAGTATTTTTTGCTGTGATGGAAATGACCTACCTCTGCACCATCTAATAGCATAGCCACTAGACACACGTGGCTAGTGTGACTGAGACACTGAATTTTTAAACTAAATCAAATTAAATGTAATTTTTTTTAAAATGTAATTTAAATAGCCACATGCAAAGAGTGCCCAGTGCACTGGACAATACATCTAAAGCATTATATGCTATACTATAAACATGCAACATAGCAGCAGATACACCAGTCTAATTTCACTTTTTTTTGCACAGACTGTTTAATAATGGCCTAACTATGCTATCTCCAGCCACTTCAAAATAAATTTTGGGCAAGATAGCACTTGTGGACAGTAAGTCCCTGCCACGGTTCCAATAAAATAATGATGTGCTTGCTGATGCCAAGATGACCCCTTCTATACTATAACGTGAATCACCATCTCTCTTTATCTTAGGTCCTCAGGAACATGAAGACAACCAATGTTTGGTACTTAGACTACAGTTAAGATCTTTCATTTAATTTAACTGAAGGTGGTAATTTTGTCCTCACTCAATTAAAACATAGAATCTGCAGTCACATTACTATAGAACGTTAATAAATAAAGGCACTTTTGGCATGCCTGCCGGAAAAGAGGGAAACAGGGAATGAAAAAGTTCTTGAAGACAAACATGGGGCAAAGACCACAGGGAAGGTGGGCAGTGTCTAACAGAATCCACCTGAGTGTTCAATCATTGCCAAACCACTGTCAAGCCATCCGCGAGATGTCAACCAACACTGGCCAGAAACTCAATCATTACAAACTTAGTTATTTTAAAGCACAAAATTAGAGTGAATAGCTTGAATGTACCTGATTTGAAGACATATTCTCAACTTTCATTAGTGACGAATAGCTCCTAGAAGAAGAAAAAAAAAAAACAACAAAAAAAACATTTTAAGTAAGATTTTCTGGCTGGCAAGTATTTCATGAACATTTACCAAGTATCTAGCAATGCTGAGGGCCTTCTGAAGAAAACAGCATCTCTGCTGTGACTTGTTGTCTCACCTGGGTCTTGTTCTTTTTTAACTTCAATCACCTGAACCTTGGGCTTCAACACTGATCTCTGAAGCTGCCAACTCTGAAACATCCCCACCTTAGGTAGACCGAGGTCCTACCCTTGGTCTTTTCTGATCTGTTACACACTTCTCCTCTACTGACTCCTTTTCTGATTTCTGCTTATTCCTTCCAGTTTCAATGTTTACACTGTGAGCTAGATTTCAATGTTAATCACTATGAACAAAGCTAGTGGAGGTGATGGAATTCCAGCTGACCTATTTCAAACCCTGAAAGATGACGCTGTGAAAGTGCTGTACTCAACATGCCAGCAAATTTGGAAAATTCAGCAGTGGCCACAGGACTGGAAAAGGTCAGTTTTCATTCCAATCCCAAAGAAAGGGAATCCCAAAGAATGCTCAAACTACCGCACAATTGCACTCATCTCACACGCTAGTAAAGTAATGCTCAAAATTCTCCAAGCCAGGCTTCAGCAATACATGAACTGTGAACTTCCAGATGTTCAAGCTGGTTTTAGAAAAGGCAGTGGAACCAGAGATCAAATTGCCAACATCCACTGGATCATCAAAAAAGCAATGGAGTTCCAGAAAAACATCTATTTCTGCTTTCTCAATTATGCCAAAGCCTTTGACTGTGTGGATCACAATAAACTGTGGAAAATTCTGAAAGAAATGGGAATACCAGACCACCTGACCCACCTCTTGAGAAACCTATATGCAGGTCAGGAAGCAAGAGTTAGAACTGGACATGGACCAACAGACTGGTTCCAAATAGGGAAAGGAGTACGTCAAGGCTGTCTATTGTCACCCTGCTTATTTAACTTATATGCAGAGTACATCATGAGAGATGCTGGGCTGGAAGAAGCATAAGCTGGAATCAAGATTGCCAGGAGAAATATCAATAACCTCAGATATGCAGACGACACCACCCTTATGGCAGAAAGTGAAGAGGAACTAAAAAGCCTCTTGATGAAAGTGAAAGAAGAGAGTGAAAAAGTTGGCTTAAAGCTCAACATTCAGAAAACTAAGATCATGGCATCTGGTCCCATCACTTCATGGGAATTAGATGAGGAAACACTGGAAACACTGTCAGACTTTATTTTTTTGGGCTCCAAGATGGTGATTGCAGCCATGAAATTAAAAGATGCTTACTCCTTGGAAGGAAAGTTATGACCAACTTAGATAGCATATTAAAAAGCAGAGACATTACTTTGCCAACAAAGGTCCATCTGGTCAAGGCTATGGTTTTTCCAGTGGTCATGTATGGATGTGAGAGTTGGACTGTGAAGAAAGCTGAGTGCCGAAAATTTGATGCTTTTGAACCTTGGTGTTGGAGGAGACTCTTGAGAGTCCCTTGGACTGCCAGGAGATCCAACCAGTCCATCCTAAAGGAGATAAGTCCTGGGTGTTCATTGGAAGGAGTGATGTTGAAGCAGAAACTCCAATACTTTGGCCACCTCATTCGAAGGGTTGACTAGTTGGAAAAGACCCTGATGCTGGGAGGGATTGGGGGCAGGAGGAGAAGGGGACGACAGAGGATGAGATGGTTGAATGGCATCACCGACTCAATGGACATGAGTTTGAGTGAACTCTGGGAGTTGGTGATGGACAGGGAGGCCTGGCGTGTTGTGATTCATGGGGTCGTAAAGAGTCGGACACGGCTGAGCGACTGAACTGAACTCAACTGAAAAGTCTGTTACAATATCACAAAAGCCAAGTAAGCCATGCAAGGTTCTAACAGAGCATGTGGGCAGGCCATGAGGAGGAATCCAACTACGGAGATGAAACTGACTTGGACACACTGCGAGGGAGCTGCAGACACTCCTCTCCAGCGTGCCAGTAAACGATGGTGTCCCCTGGGAGACTCACAGGTACCTGTTTGAAAGCCCTCTCCAAAATCCACATAAAACTGAGCGAGAGCTGTTCTCCTTCTCACTTTCCAAGCAAGGTCACTTCTAGGGCTCCGACTACTTTCAGAACCTCTGCTGTTTCTTCTGCCGCATCCTTGCTCTAAGTGTGGCTTACAGCACAGCAGGTGGAAGGGACATGTCACTCAAGGCTTCCTCTCTACAGGTAACCCTACACAAAGGTTCTCTACACAAAAGTCCCATTAGATGCTAAGCTACAGGGCAAGTGTCAGCAAAAAAGCTGTCTAAAGAGCTAATGAACAAGATGGTAAGTGAGAATTAATATCTGGAGACTAAATAAGGGGAATTTTTCATTATTGTGTAAATGAACAAAATGGCTAATAGAAGGACTGATGCTGAAGCTCTGATACTTTGGCCACCTGATGCAAAGAGCCAACTCACTGGAAAAGACCCTGATGCTGGGAAAGACTGAAGGCAGGAGGAGGAGGTGACAACAGAGAATAAGATGGTTGGATGGCATCACCGATTCAATGGACATGAGTTTGAGTAAACTCTGGGAGTTGGTGATGGACAGGGAGGCCTGAAGTGCTGCAGTCCATGGGGTTGCAGAGTCGGACACAACTGAGCGATTGAACTGAACTAAAGTATATATTTAAATCTTCATGGGAATAGATACTGGGAAAGATTGAGGGCAGGAGAAGGGGACAATAAAGGATGAGATGGTTGGATGGCATCCTTGACTCAATAGACATGAGTCTGAGTAAACTATGGGAGTTGGTGATGGACAGGGAAGCCTGGTGTGCTGTAGTCCATGGGGTCGCAGAGAGATGACTTACCAAATTATCAACGACAAAATATACTGTTACCACTTAGCCTTCACAGTTCGGCATTCTCCCAACAATCTAAATATTTCTTTAAGAAAACTACCTCAAAGGATGATCTTTACGTAGACCTATTCCAAGTATCAGATCACTGGAATTTCTGCACACTGAGGACAGGGTAGGTAAAGCACTTATTTGCAAGAACAAGATGGAGCTCTGTCTTCAGGGACTGCTGCTCTTTTCATCTGAGAAGGAAGGTGGTGCCTTCTGGGTCGTGGGTTTTGCTGTGTTCTGAGCTAGAGGCTGATGGATAGACTCCTGACTAGAGCTTAAAGAACCTGGACTATACGATGGCAATTCCATCCTTTTTATTCTCCTGATAGAAATTAGAAATAAAAAGCTGATTGCCATTCTTGTTCAGAAAGTTGAAAAAGGGAGTTTAGAGTCTAAAGAATGGCAATAGAATTGGGAAGAAGTTGGGCATCACCAAGATATGAGGCTGTGAAGGACTTCCTCCCTGAAACCATTTGGAAGTACTGCGGGTACTGTCCAAGGTGAGAATGTCTTCTCACTCTATCTGTAGAATTCCCCAAAGATTCAAACATCAGTTTCTTCAGAGATCACAGCAATTAACTAGACGTTTCTTAGCAGATGGTCCAAATGAACTGACTGTTGGTGAAATTTAATGGTATTTTCCATGTCAGAAAGGCAAGTGAAAGGCTTTAGAATGAGAAGATTTTGTAGGCATAGCATTCGATCTCTTGGGTCAAAGAGTCAAAGACAGAAATTAAAGTGATACTAGCACCAACAGGTTATAAAACAAATCTGAGCTTAGAGGTTGTTGTTGGAGTTTCACTAAAACTCTGAAACAGCCTGAACAGAGGGCAAAAGAGAGTGGAAACAGTGTGTGTGAGATTGAGAAGCAGACTGAGATGAGCTGCATGTCTCGGTGAGTTACTTAGTCTCTCATTTTCCTCTTCTACAAAATGCAGATGCTAAAAAATATTTGCCTCACATGGCTATTGTTAGGATTAAATGAGATAATGCAGTAAAACACAATACAGTGTTGGGAAGATGACAAGTATCCAAAGATGTTAGCTAACTTTCTTATTAAATATTATAAGTAAATTAAGTGACATTATCAAGGGAGCTTCCCTTGTTGCTCAGATGGTAAATAATCTGCCTGCAATGCAGGAGACTCAGGTTTGATCTCTGGGTTGGGAAGATCCCCTGGAGAAGGGCATGGCAACCCACTCCAGTATTCTTGCTTGGATACTCCATGGGGTCCCTACAGTCCATAGGGTGGCAAAGAGTCGGAAACGACTGAGCGACTAACACTTTCACTTTTTTTTCATATTTCTAACATATAGTATTATGTTTCTAAACAAAATTATGGTAGATTTGTAAAAGCACAAAAAAGTATGTTATTTTTACCCCACTGCACAATGAAAACAAAAAGAATAAACTAGTCTAAATCATGCATCACTCAAAATTCCACACAATTTTGAAACCGATGGTGTTGCTAATTGTTCTTTCATTCACAACACAAAAGAGACTCACAATTCTACAGCAAATTGAATGTTTAAGTCTCTGCAATAATCTGTCTCATGCTGGTTATAACCTGGGGTAACACTTCCAGAGGTCTTCACTGGAATACTGTATTGTAAATGAGACCATGAAACCTATTTTTAGCAGAACTCCCAACAGGGACACGTGCATGTCGATAAAAAATAAATAGCAGCACTTGATCATAATACCTCCATTCTGGCCAAACAATCTTGCTAATAATCCAGAGTATTCCAAGGAAACCAGGGCAGGACAGGGCAAGACAGCTCATGTGGATCCTATTCCCTTCCCAAAGGAATCACTAACTTTTTTGGTACACGTATCACAAATTAAATCTACCATTCCTAAGGGTTAATTCCCAATTAAGTCAGCAGTGAGGACTTGTCCAAGGTCAAGGCAAGTGTCTTAGCTCCAGCATACCTAAGTTCGTCCATCTCCCTCTTCTTTTTCATCTCTTCCTTTTCTCTCCTTTTCATTTCCTGAATCTGGGCTTTCTTCTCATTTCTCTCTTCACGGTCTCTGCATTCTTTCTCTGCCTCTAGGTCCGGGAACCGCTCCATTTTGGTCTTTTCTAATCGGTTCAGGATCTCATTCACTTTCTTCTCTACTGTCACAATTTTCACCTTTGACGGAGATGTAGGAAAAAAGATACTTAATCTTTATGGTTTTCCCCTCCCCCTCAGAATAGGGCAGAAGCTTTCCTCTGCCACCCAGGTGGAGTCCCTTTAGGAAACAGGCATGCGGATCCCTTGACAGAAGAGACGGAGACCCCTCAGCACCAAGACACCCCTCCGCATGAGGGCACCACCCCTTCCGGTGACGTCACACTCACATCCTTCTGCCTGTGAAAGCCAATCTGGCCCACGTCCATATCGGCCGTCTTCTTCAGGTTAGACCACGGGGTGTACACCACATTAACATTGTTCATCTTGCAGCCTGCCAAGAGAAGCTGTCCTCAGCATGTGGGCAGGAGGACACTGAGCAATGCGTGCCCACACCCATGATTAAGTCACCATAATCCAACAGGGGAGAAGGGTGAGAATGAACGAGCCACTGAGCATTTCAAACCACAAAATATTTTGTCTTTTTCAAAAAGCAGCTCCCTACAAAGACAAATGGTAAAGCCCACAAACAATTCAAGCTAAAGTATTCCAAAGGAAAGCAGTGGTCTAGAGATCAGCTTCAGGGACTCTGAGGCTTTCTAAAGTTGAACATTTACTTTATGTGTTTTTAAAGAGAAAAGGGCCACACAGGTTTTCTCAGATTCTCAAAGGAACCCTTGACCTAATGAAGATTAAGCAGCAAGATAAAGGAATTCAGGAGACAGGATCCTACCCAGCATTACCATAAACCAGCTCGTTCACTTTGGGAAAGTCCCCATGGCTCCTGGAATCTTGTCTGAAATATGAGGAAGCTGGACCCGTTTAGTAGTGTTCCTGTTGTTTGTTTCTTTTAGCAGTGGAACATCTTTCACCAAAGAAAACAAGTCAAAGCAATCGAAGCAAAGATGCTCTGGATAAAAGGGGTGCCAGGAACCCTGTTCATGCCTCCTATGCCCTCACCACCCCCACTTCATGTGCCCCTCCATGCCAACAGCCTCCCAGGCAGCTCTAAGAATCCCAGTTTAGTCACTGGTCCAGTGCTCCCTAAGGCCCTTCTGAATTTGATGGCGATACATGTCAGTGTTTATAGTCAATGATCACATACAATGGGGAAGTCTGGGGAACACAACCCCATTTAAACGATCAATGTTAACGTCACCAAAAATGAGGTAAACTGGCAGCAGGTACCTCCTGACTGTAATCACAAGGCTTCACTTGCATAGTAGTCCTGCCAGAAAATTTGATCCTACTGAATAGGAAGCTCACTTGCATAGTATTCCTGCTAGAAAATTTGATCCTATTGAACAGGAAGCATCACACCAACCCAAAGTGGCCTCCACTCTAAAAGTGTCAAAGTCCTGAAAGACAAAGAAGTGTCCAGATTAAAGGCGACCAGAGAGACATGACAAGTGAATAGAATACAGGATCCCGGATCAGGAAAGAGATGCTATAAGGTGACAGAAGTGGGACTACGGACAAAACTTACATATGGTCTCTCTATCAGGTAACGGTATTCTCCCCATGTTACATTTCCTGAATTTAATCACTGTAACACAGTTACTTTAGGCAATGTCCTTCTGAGGACACACTGCATGGTCATGATGGCTATGATTTTCTTTCAAATGGTTCAGCTAAAAAAAACAAAAAACAAAAAAACCATTGAGTATATCATAGGGAGAGAGCAAACAAATATGGAAAAACTCTTGACTCTAAATGAAAGGCAGATGAGAGCTGTATTTTTCTTGCAACTTTTCTGCAGGTTTGAAATTTTTTTCAAAATTAAGTTAAAAAAAATCTCCATATGCAAGGCACTGTGAGAGACAGAATCATGGCTCACACAATGGATCCTGTCCTCTAAGATTAAAAGAGGACAGATAAATACATTTGTTTTTTGTTAAGCCACTAAGTTGTGTCCGAGTCTTTGCAACTCCATGAACAGCAGCATCCAGGTTTCCCTGTCCTTCAGGATCTCCTGGAGTTTGCTCAAACTCATTTCTGTTGAGTCAGATAAATAAGCTCAAGTAAAATGAGATGCTGTCAAGTGATATTGGAAAGATATAGGTAAAGCGCTAAGACAATTCAGAGAGGGCAGAAGTCACTCAAAGATGGAAAAAGAGAAAGATTCCACAGGAGAGGTTAAGTTCCTTAATTCTTAATTGTTTAATCTCGGCTTCCTCATCTATAAAATGAAAATAACTTTCTTAATTCAGTAGAGTTGACAAATGAATAATGTGTAATGTTTCTGGCACAGTGCCAGACATGTAATTAACATTCAACGTTAGCTGCTCTTACTATTGTAACTACTGTGTCCACCCTCAGCCTTAGCTCCGATCCAGACATGTGATGGCTGAGCAGGAGTATGACATTGAGGGCAGAGGGAACAATGTAAGCAAAGGCACAAGGTGGGAAAACAGCAGATATTTGCTTTGGCTGGAGTGTGAAATACACGAAGGGAAATAAGAGTCTGTGGTCAGATCCGAGATGCTTAAATGCCAGCTTAGGAAGTCTGGACTTAACTGTATAGACAAGGTGTGGGGTGTCATGGAAAGTGTCCAGGCTTTGAGACAGTTTAATCTGGCAAGAGATTATAAAGTGAATAAAGAAGAGGCTGACCAGATTCCGTGAGGACAAACAGCATGGGAGGTGGTCAGCCAGGGAGGAAAATATTTTAAGGACTCAGTGACACAGATGGAGCGCACTCAGCAGATCTCACAGCAAAGGCAATCTTCGGCACCCCTCAGCATCCACTGCTCTTAACTCCTGACAGTGCGATGCCTGGGCTCAGCTCCTTCCTCAGCTGAGTGAGCCATCCCCATGGCAGGCTGAAGGGGGAGGTTAAGGACTCAGTGATCTAAGGACTTCTCTTTTCTGTTTTCTCTAGAACTAGTAAACTACAAAGGGATTAAGGAGAAAGAGGCTCAGCCAAGAATAACAAGGCCAGGGCTCTTTGCTCTTGTAACAAAGTTGCCTCTGCCAGCCAGAGGCCTGGGAAGGGGACAAGAAGAGTGAAAGGGTTGCAACACACAAGGAAAGAGGACATGACAGTCTTGATTTTTATTATTTTTATTTCAGTAACCAGAGATCTTAACTGGGAATCTTAGGAGCTTGGTTCTACTCTAAAATCAATTGCAATTTAATGATTTATGGAGCTGAAGATGAATAGGTCTACAAGACAAGAGCAAGACTTCCGGTTTCTTTGGCTAGGCCCCTGACCCAGGAAAGCTGCCTGCATGAGATCTGCAGGCTAAAAGGTGGGGGAGGGGCTCATTTCCAGCTCTTCTCAGTAATCACCGACCTCTGCGACCTGCTATCAGCTGTGTCTTCCCCATGCTTATCTTCTATGTAAACCATATTTTTTCTCAACACTCTGGATCAGCCCTCAACTTCAAATGAACCCAAACTTACCTCAACCCTATCTAGGTCCATGTCCTACAACTAAAATCCAGTCTATCAGCTCAATCCTTCTTCACAGAACACCATCTCCCTACTCTCCTTTATAACTGCCACCTCCACTCCATTAATTGTCCTTCTTGACCTACACTGACCATTGAAAAGTTAAATCTTGTACAGTAGAACTCAACAGGCACCAAGCCCAGTATTACAGGTCCTACTTAAAACCCGGAGGCCAAGTGTCCCAACACTCTGCACGCTGGAAACATCTGGAGAGCACTATAAAAATACTGACTCTAACATATCACCCCAGACCAATTATTTAAGATTCTCTGGGAGATAACAAGAGTGGATTTGATATGCATAGGAAGAAAAAAGTCTGTAAGGAGAGAAGAAAGAAAACGCAGCAAAGAGCAAATGGGAGACCTGAATTCTAGAAGGTATTGAGTTGGCCAAAAAGTTCGTTTGGATTTTTCTATAACATCTTATGGAAAACCCCAAAAGAACTTTTTGGCCAACAGAACAGTAACAAATAACAAAAATAAAGATATGCAACAGCATTACAAATAAAGACCTGAGACACATTTATCGCCTGGCTTTTAATATAACCTAATTTCCAAATGTCTTTTCACAAATAACCTTAAGGGTAGGCAAGTCTAGACAACTTTCTATTCAAGGGAAAGAAAACAGGGTTAAAAAAAAAAAGACTTCAGATGGGCCATGAACATTAGAGGGGTGGGGAGATTAGTCTTCAGTTCTCTGACAGGCGAGATTGCCATCTTAACAAAACAGGGGAAAGGCATATCATATACATGTTATTCTCTAGACTCAAGCCAAAGTCAGTAACATGTTCTCTAAGATATAATCCATTTCAGACACAAAGTGTGTGAGTTCTGAAAACACCTCTAGGAAAACTGACCTTGAATGCTATTGGCCTTCACAAGATGGGCACAGTCCATCAGCACCTCCTTTGGAATATCTTCTATTTTCTCTCCCTGAAACACAAAAATAAACCAAATGGCTCACCACCTTGTTTCTGAGCAATACTGGAGCACTTTTATGGGGCTTTGCTACTTTACTAGGCACAATTTTATTAAAACAAGGGGCTCTTCAACTGTATTTCAAGACACTGAAAAATAAAGACAGTTATGGAAATGTTTAAGAGAAGGCAGTAATATGGAAATACTGATACTTAATAGGTAAATAAAAAACAGGGTATGAAAAGAAAACCACCAAAATATTAAGCATTTTTATGTCTGAGTAATTTTTTCCTCTTTCTTCTCATTCATACTTTTAGAAACCGTGTGGAAAAGTGATGTCTGTTTTGACAACGGGGAGATTTCTTAGCCGAGGTCCCTATGCCCTCCCTCTCAAGAGACATCCCTCTCAAGGGCTTCCCCGTTGGCTCAGATAGTAAAGAACCCGTCTGCAATCCAGAAGACCTGGGTTCAATCCCTGGGTTGGGAAGATCCCTGGAGAAAAGAATAGCAACCCACTCCAGTATTCTTGCCTGGAGAATCCCACCGACAGAGGACCCTGGTGGGCTACAGTCCATGGAGTCACAAAGACTCAGACACGACTGAGCAACTAAAACACACACACACACACACACACACACAAGAGGCATCTTACAGTTGTGGGTCTCAATCATCTGGTAGGTTATGTACCCTCAGCTTTAGTCAGGAACCAAGCTCCTGGTGTGTGACATATAAACTTCCACCATAAGGGAGAAAAAAATATCAATTCATTCACTTTATAGATACAGTATCAAAGTCAAAGCTGAATAAGCAAAGCCATTCCAAAGGAACAAAAGCATGTCAGAGGCAAGAGCTGGTGGAAATCAGCTCAGCACTGGCTGTTAGGCATGGGATTACAGAAGCACTTCTGTCTAGGAGTGAAATGTTTTATCTACCTAAATATTTGAAAAATTAAGTTTATTCTGTTTTTATTTTTTTTTCCTCTTAATGTTTCAAAATGGGACTCTCTCAAATACCTAAATTTTGACCAGAAAGTACTTAAACCCTATCTCATCCTGTGAATAGACTTATTCACTTAAATACAGGATTCTGAATTTACCAACTTGATTAACACAATGTCATCATCATGAATATCAACCACTACACTAAGCTACAATATAGTGATGATGATGCCTTCAGGGGCTTCTAACACTCATAGAAACTGACTGACCCTATACTAAATACATCAAATGAATAATAAAGAACAAATTAGGAACCACTTTAGGAATATTCACTTTTTGAATGCTAGGAACACTCAGTAAATAGCCATATGAAATGGATAGTAGTATTATGCTCGCCTTACCAATGAAGAAAATGAAGCTTACTGAGGTTTAGTAACTGGGCCAAGATCCTCCATGTCTTGTAAATGTCAGAGCTCAGAGATGAACCCAGGATTAAAGTCAAGCTCTAACAACTGGCCCCAAAGTAAGGTGCTTATGGAGTTTTTGTGAAAATGTTATCTTGGCCCTTAATATCAGGTTATGTACCAACAGTCCTTACTACCTAGAGCTACTACTATTCCTGAAGCAATCCCCTCTTCTTGTTTTGCTATTTCTAATAAAATGAGCAGACCAAATAAAATAAAATCATTTGGCTTAGTATTATGCATTAAGTCAGAGTAAACAAAATGCATGGAGAGTCTAAGGTAAAGGCCAAAATTTTGTCTGTAGGCTCTGCGCCATCTGTGTTAATGAGATAAGAAACCTCTTGATAAGTGAGATTTTCCTATAGGTTTTCAAAAAATCAAAGAAGCATAGAGAAAAAACCAAACCCTTGATGAATATCCATAAGCTTTAAAGCCTGGGTTGAATTCACCTGAATTTGACCAAAAAAAAAAAGAATAAACACACATAGCACTTAGCAAGTGCCAGGCACTATTAGAAATGCTTTAGCTGGGACATGCCTGGTGGTCCAGTGGTTAAGATTTTGAGCTCTGAATGCAGGAAGCAAGGGTTCAATCCCTGATCAGGGAACTAAGATCTTGCATGATGCAGCCAAAAAAAAAAAAAAAACAACTTCAGTCATGCTAGGTCATTTAATCATTACAATGACCCAGTAAGTCAGGGGTTGTGAGCTCCCTTTTACAAAGGAAACTGGCACAGCTGAATAACTTGCTCAGAGGTGCACAGCTGGTATGAGCAGAGTCAGGATTTGAAGCCAGCAGTCCAGCTCCAGAGTCTAGGTTCTGAATTACTTAGTCTCACTGCATCTCCAACGCTTACTTGGTACCTACTAATTAATACAAAGGGCTATGGCCTTTACTTTTATGACCAGTAGTCATGTATGGAAGTTGAGAGTTGGACTATAAAGAAAGCTGAGCGCTGAAGAATTGATGCTTTTGAACTGTGGTGTTGGAGAAAACTCCTGAAGAGTCCCTTGGACTGCAAGGAGATCCAACCAGTCCATCCTAAAGGAAATCAGTCCTGAATGTTCATTGGAAGGACTGATGTTGAAGCAGAAACTCCAATACTTTGGCCACCTGATGCAAACAGCTGACTCATTTGAAAAGACCCTGATGCTGGGAAAGAGTGAAGGCAGGAGGAAAAGGGGATGGCAAAGGATGAGATGGTTGGATGGTATCACTTATTCAATGAACATGAGTTTGAGTGAACTCCGGGAGTTGGTGATAGACAGGGAAGCCTGGCATGCTGCAGTCCAAGGGGTCGCAAAGAGTCGGACATGAATGGATAGCCTTTACCGCAGGAGATCTACCAGGTAGAAGTTCCTTTAGGAACACAGATTTTTATCAAGTACAATTATGGGCTTACAAAAGAAAATGAAACGGAACTCCTGTTTAGACAAGTACTAACTGGTGGTAAAGTGAACTTGGGACTATCACCATTATTTCCATTTTCTGACACAGCAGAATCCAAAGGAAAAATCTTACTCTGAACCAAAAGGAAGTTGGGAATACCATTCTTTATTTTCTCTAAACTTAAAATAGTTTCAGAATGGCAAGAAGTTGCCTAGGAAAATTCAGAATTTTGTTCCAGCACAGAGTTCACAAACGTCTTATTTTTTTTCTTTTTTACAATACTGTTCTCAAAAACACAAGCAAAGTAAGTAAAGGTGGGCTAGCATGTTTTATCTTGTTAGTACACTGAGAAGTAAATATTATCAGCATAATGAATATCATTTTTTATTTATTAAAAATAGTCAAAAGGTTGCTCTTAAGTTATAAAACCCCAATATGTTTTTGGAAAAACCTATACATATCAGGTAGCATTTTAAACCAGCACAATATTTTCAAAGGGCAATCTGGCATAAAAGGAGTTACTAAAATATTTATATCTTTTGACCCAATAATATGCTTAAAAAAAAAATCAAAAGAAAAAAAATAGTTCATAAAAAATATTTCTTGTTGGGGCTTCATAATACTGAATGCTGTAAACAACTTATATTCTGACAGGGAGCTTTCAAATTAACTGTGGCATACTGTCAACTCGAAGCAGCCAGTCAAAACAATAAATATAAAAATTATATGGTCACGTAATACAATCAACGAGGGGATGCCAAGGAGGAATGCAAACTGAGATGAAAGAATCTAAGTGCAGACAATTATCAATGAGAGGCATGGGGGAAAAAGCAGCTTACAAATAACTTTGAAAAACAGCATTTTGAATGGAAACTATAAGGCAGAAACCAAAAATAATTGCACATAAATACTGTACTTTAGCTGACAAAGTTGTTTCTTATGAGTATACAAGTCACCAAATCTGAAACCACTTGCACACAGATTGGATTCAAATAAGCAAATGATGGTGGATGGTGGGAGCCAGGTCTCCTTTCCCATTGTCTAAGGAGGAAGTAATAATAAAGGAGCAACGAAGGAAGGAGAGAAAGGCCCCCACAGTAATGGATTCACCAGAGACATCAGTAGAAGCTCATGTTTCGCTTACTAGATACAGAAACAATTATTCACACAAATTACTAACACGGGTTAATATATATGTATACATACTTCCTAGCTCTGTCACGCGAGAGGGCCTAGAAGCAATGACACTCCAGTAGCAATGAGCACTCCCAGAGTCCAGGTCTTGGTTTTTAAACACCATTTCTCAGTAAAAGGAACCAAGGTTCTTTGGAGAAATGACTGATTCTAGGGCTGGAGCAGGGAAAATACATGAGCCTGGAGCATCTAGCAGTATCAGAAAGTAAGGAAGGGCTCCAATGTCAGAGGAACACAGGAGCAGAGGTGGGAGAGTCAAAGCAGGCACGATTTTAGCCACAAAATGCCACAGTCCATACTGACATAAGTAAATGACTAAATCAAATACATGGGGGGAGAGACAAAGAAGACAAATTCTTCTTTACAGAAGAATTCCAAACAATACAAGCAGATACTCCTGACTCTAAGACGTGGGACTTAATTCCATCCTCTCCCTGCCTCAGTACAGGATGGGCTCAGTGACTTGCTTCCAAATAATGAAGTATGGAAATGGGGAGAAATGCAACTCTCTGGTGGAAAAACCCGGAAAACATTACCCTGGCCAGGAGACCAAGGTTGACAGCATTAGTGCTAAGTCCTGTGAACAGACGTACCCCTGACACGATGGGATGACAGCACCCCACCTCTGTGCTGTTCTTTCCCTAAACCCGTAACTCCAGTCTAGTCACGAGAAAAACCCACAGAGCGCCATTCCATAAACAACCTGAGTGGTATTTCCCAAACCATCAAAGTCGTGACAAACAGAGAAAGAGTGAGAAACTGTCGCAGGCCAGAGACCAGGCAGACGCGACAACCAGAACGCAGTGTGGGATCCTGGACCAGATACTGCAACAGAAAAAGCATGTGAACGGAAACACGTAGAAATGGAGACAGAGCCCCGAGATTACTGAACAGGGCTGCACCGTGGTTCCTGAGTTCTGGCAGATCTACCATGGCCATGGAAGATGTGGGCAATGGGGGAAGCCGGACATGCGTGTACAGGAGTCTGTGCTACCTCTGTGACTTTTCTGTACATCTAAAATCATCTCCAAACACATATATAAAAAAGCAACACACGTAACAATTATCTGTACCCTGTGATTCAACTGTACAAAATATATGGAGATAAAGACAGATTATAAAAATGGTTTTATGTGACATGGGAACATGGAATCTTTCCCCTTTACTATGATAACACTGTTTTAAACCTCCTGAAGAAGCCCCGGCTAACAGGGACATGTGCCCTTGGTGAGATAGGAGAATCACCAGTCTGAGAAAAAGGAACCACAAATGCCATCTCCCCAGAAGAAGACAGGAAGTCCAGTAGTGTCAACTGAAAGGACAGGGAGAGACAGCAGGGGTGACATACAGACACCTCAGCTGGCAGGACAAGACAGTGCTTCTAGCCGGAAAGTATGTGCTGTGTTCCCCTTCCAAACCTCCTTACCAGACCTGCCCTTAGTGATTTCCTAGGTGAGGGGAAAACATCTCTTCATCTGCTAATTTGTAGACTTTTGTACATATTTATTACTCTAAGCAATTTATTAAAAAAAAAAAAAGACAGAGGAAAGACAGGATGCTCATCACTAAAAAATTTTGAATCCATGTTTAAATCCAATTACCTTATGCAATCGAAGGTACACATGAGCCGAAGAGAGTTTGTCCACATGAAACCTACAAAGAATGAAAACCACTTTTAGCAAGAGGTACAAGATAACCATCTCCTCAGGTCACCTGCGTTGAAAGCACTCCAATCCAAAAATATGAATTCAGTTGCCTATTGCATGCTGAGCACCACGGTGAGCAGAAAACACAGCCAACCGCCTCCGAAGGCCTCACTTTCAACTGGGAGAGGTGAGAAAAACATGGAGAGTTCTGCAGCTGTGCAAGGCTAAGTGCTGAGATGAGCACAGGAGGTGACGAACATGAAATGCCCAGGAAGTGTGACTTTTCAAGTGAGAAAGAGCTATCAGTGACCCAAGGATTCACTGGTGAACTGAGATCTGGAGGGTCCCAGGCTGAAGCATGGGATGCACAGCAAACATGGGAAAGGAATTTTAGGAGGGAAGAGAAGGGAATGGAAGAAGTCATCAAGACTCCAGGGCTGCAAGCCTGGGCAACCTGCAGGACCACTGACAGACACACCTTACAGCTGGAGAGGGAGCCAGCTGGGAAAGATGAGAGGTCTGGTTTGGGACATCCTGAGTTTCAAGCAATAGCAAAACAATCCAAAGAGAATGTCAATCAGAGACAGAAGAGTCAGGTAAGGACTGAAGCGGTAAGTGGACCACCTCCCATTAGGTGTCAGACTAGCAATTCATCCAGCAACTATACTCCAGTAAAAATTAATCTAAAAAGAAAAAACACAACCAAGAAAACTCCAAAACCCAATTCATCCAGCCTTACATCTAACAATGACACTAATACTCAATTCCTGGGAAAGCATGGCTATTGCCCTTTATGATGTTGTCCTAAAAATATCAGAATGCCCTCTCATTCCCTAAGTCCTGCATTTACCTTTCATTAAGGCTCTATCATTCATTAATTTAATTAAATCTTTAAAAAATGTCCTTTTTTCATGTAACCCAACATTTGGGAATTTTAAGTTATTCACCTTTAGAAGTCACCAAGTGAGGTGGATCTCTCTTACCAACACCCAAAGATGACTTCAGAATGCTAGCAAACAATGGTAACACACAGCTGTCACTCCTGATTCTGTTAACTTCAGTTTTCTGTTCCTTAGTCCTTTCCTTCAAGACTGAAGAATGTTCAGTAAAATTTTAAGGGGGCAACATCATAGCCCCTTATGTATTTCTCTAGATATTTTATTAGCATTAAAGGATTTTTTAGAACTGAAAATGGCTACACATTTATACCCAGTCCAAGATGTAGACAGTGTGATTCTATATAAAGGTCAAGATTATGCTGTTTGTAATGCCCTCTTTAAAAAGATTAAGCATCTTGCTAGTGACTTTGACTACAAAAGTTTTACACATTTTTTGGCAGACTCTGATGACTCTAGGTCTTACTCCTCACAAATACTGACAGTCAGAAATGAACACAACATCTTGGTTTATTTTTCCTCTTCAGGTTCACTTACTCATTTGCATTCTCATGTAAGAGATTCCTACTGATTTTCTTCTTCTGCTTGGCACTCTCCAGCCAGAAAATAAGCTTCTTGAAAATCTAGAAATGATATCTCACTACCCTGTTTCAGGATGTTAGAAAAATACCCCATTCATAAGCAAGCTCAATTGAGAAAACTTCTCCCATTCCAATTTAAAGTTCTCTATTTACAACAACTCTTTTCTACATACCCACAGTAGCTTGACTATATTCTGACTTCCCTTAAAGGTCCCTGATATGGAATTTTGTCAATAGAAATACATAAATAGTTCAACATACATATATACTGGGTTCAAATATAGGCAGTCAAAGTACTAAAACACACACAGGAATACCACTGCTGATCTACATGAACTTCAGGCGTGTAGGTACACCTCTGCAAAGGGCAGGGCAAATGTATGGATATTCAGGGCTTTGGTTGAAGTGTAAAACAAACAAAAAGTCAGCTCTGTAAACTATTTGGAGCAAGCTTCCTTAACAAACGTCCCAAATGCTCACTCCAAGTTTAAATTATGCCCAACTAGTTCCCTAGTTCTCTCTCTTCCGGTTACTTTCCTCTCCCTGATTAATCACTATTACCCTTCACTGAATACAGAGACTAGACACTTGAATATATGAGGATCCTTGACCTGAGACTGGAGAGAGGCAAAGCACCCAAAGCTGGGTAATTTTACTTCTTCAAGTGGGGTCTCTGGATATATCACTCATTAGGGAGTCTGGAGGCAGTAAATGCACATTTCTACTTTCCTTTGTTTAAAAAGAATTTAGGGACTTTCGTGGTGGCCCAGTGGTTAAGACTCTGCATTTCCAATACAGGGGGTGCAGGTTTGATTCCTGGTTGGGGAGACAGATCCCACATGCCTCATGGCCAGAAAAACCAAAAACATAAAACAGAAGCAATATTTCAACAAATTCAATAGAGACTTTAAAAATGGCCCACATCAGAAAAGAAAAAAAAAATCTTAAAAAAAAAATGAGTTCAGTTCCATTCTCATTTAATCCTAGAAAAATTCTTTGCTTCCAAGCACTGTAGGTTTCCTAGGATAAACTCAGATGTTGACATTCCCAGAGGTTCAGTTTCAGAGTCTACGTCAAGGTGACCCAGGCTGAAAATCTGCCCTGGAATGCAGATCAACTCATTCATTTTTCACATGCCTCAGAATGTTTCCAGAATTGATGGTTTGTGAACTGGAACAGGTCTTGAAATTTAGGGCTATGCCAGCTCATATCGGACCTCAAATAGCTTCTGGAAGTACTAGTCGATCACTTCCAACAAGACATTAAATCTCAAGATTATTAACATTAAGTGTGTTGAAATGGGTATCGAGCATCTGTAGACACCAGTTCGGTAAGTGCATTCCAGGAGAGAGTCAACCTTAATGAAATGAAAAACCCAAGTCATAATACATGAGATGTAGGCTGAATATTGGAAATTTCTCTTCCACTTACTTTTTTTCTTTTATATGTCAGGTAAAAGGCTGTTTTGAATTGCCTTTCATAGTGCATCTGAATATGTAATCATTTCTCTGCAGGTATGTCTGCCCCAAACCTTACAGCAAGTAACTACATAACAGATATAATCATTCTTATCTCTTGCATGACAGATCTGGAGATCTCTGGGGCTTCAGTGTGGTGGTCTCAGCCACCTACTCTGAGGAGACACACAGGCGGTAAAAGCAAGCCTATGTTCCAAAGACCTTTGCAGTCAGGCCCGAGGTCCATCTTTGAGACCTCCTTCCCAGTTAACGTGGTACTTATAAGTGAAGGGAGCTGGTGGTCAGCTTTTTACCACTGAACAGTCATAAACAAACGGCAAACCATGAGTTCTAGTTCTAAACACAGGAGTCAGGCGGTTGGCCAAGTTTCAGAAAGTAAATAATGATCTGTAAAGAGCAGAACCAAAATTTGTTACCTTACCAAATATCTTCAGGCCAGCCATATTTGATCAGATCTTCATCTGCAGAGACAGAAGAGAACAAAGAAAAGGAAACAAATAAGAAACACGATATACTGTTGAGTACAGAGAGATACAGCCGTAATAACTTTAAATTTTATTACTTTGTAAGAATTTTAAATGCAGTAGAAATTATAAAAATACCTAATCACTATGTTGTACACATGAAACTAATATAATATTTATTTTTAAAATTTTAATTCAGTTTTTAAATTATTCTTCGGTTCTTTGTTGTTTTTTTTTTTTGGCTATGCCATACAGCTTGCAGGATCTTAGTTCCTCAACCAGCAACTGAACCCAGGCTCTGGAAATGAAAGTGCTGAGTCCTAATCCTGGACTGTCAGGGAATTAATTCCCTAAAGTAATATTTTAAATCAACTATACTTCAATAAAAAATAATTTTTAAATAAAACAAAACTGTTCAAAAAAAATTTTTTTTTTAATTTTCCATCATCAAAGCCTCTTTGAATTACTCTTTTCTTCATTAAGAGAGAGAAAAAGTTTTGTAGAAAAGACTGGTATTTTTTCCCTTCCCAACTTACAGTAAACTTTAGCACATTTCACTTAACCTTCTTTTTTTAAAAAACACTTTTAATAGTTTTTACAATTGGACAATTATAATCATGAAGTATTTGTTCAAAAGGTGAAGTGAACAAAGGTTAAGTATTTGTTTAAATTGTATGATTTTTTTTATTGTTTTAATTTTAGCCATACCACATGGCTTATGGGATCTCAGTTCCCTAACAGGGACTGGGCCACGGGCCACGGCAGTCAGAGTGCAGAGACCTAACCAATGGACTGCCAGGGAATTCCCGTGTGTGCATATTTTATTTCAATATATACCTCCAATAAATCATATCAATAATTAGTAACTAATTGTGTTTAATACAGAAGCATTACTTGGTATTGATATTAGGCATAAAGATAAAAAAAGGTAAACAAAGTGATTCACATATGATGATTTAAAATGTACTCAAGTAAAAAAATAAAATAAAATAAAATAAAATGTACTCAAGTATAATCTATCTAACTTGAATGACGTATTTATTGTCCAGAAAAGCAAAAAGATGAGAGTACCCTCTCTGATGAGGGCACTTTAAACAAATGCATACACCTTGAGTTTTCTTAAGAGTTTTCTGTAAGTGCAAGTAGAAAGTTGAGCAAACCTCCAACAAGTAATCAGAAAGATGAGAAAAAGGAAATTCTAAAAACCTCTTTTCGTTTGGGCAATGTCTGGCTCCCTGGTGACACCTGCTGGCTAATAAGGAACATATCAGAAAGCTTTTTTTAGTGAAAGTAAACTGTCCAACCTAAAATTCCTTTTTGTTCTATCCAGTCCTTTGTCAGAAGTCGTCAAGACTATTAGAAGTAAATGTGAAGAGCTAGGCACAGTAGAGAACATATCACCTGAAAAATGTAATACCATTTTAACAGCAGACTAGGAGAGTGGATGACTCTAAAAGTACCTGGGGAAAAAATGTTCTACACAAAATTTTTTTTCCTATGTATACTTTTAACAACAGTGAAACACCACTCCAATGAGGTCCGGGTAGAATCTAAATGTACATCAGTAGGCATAAACTCTGTATCTAGACTTATATCTATAGAAAGAAATTCCTACAATGGAGGTTTAAAGAATTCCACAATCTAGCCAGTCCACTTTAACCCACTCCTCCAAGAAGCCTTCTGGGCTCTCCCTAATCACATTTACTCTCTGTATGTCTGCTGTTAATATTATCTCATTTTGCACTGTTTTTGTTTAACAGACTTTATTTTTCAGAGCAGAAAACTGACCCCTATTCTGGTCCCATTACTTCACGGCAAACAGATGGGAAAAAGGTGGAAACAGTAACAGATATTATTTTCTTGGGCTCCAAAATCACTGTGGACAGTGACTGCAGTCATGAAATTAAAAGATGCTTGCTCCTTGGAAGAAAAGCTACGACAAACTTAGCATATTAAAAAGCAGACACATCACTTCACCAACAAAGGTCTGTATAATCAAAGCTATGGTTTTTTCAGTAGTCACGTACGGATGTGAGAGTTGGACCATAAAGACTGAGTGCCAAAGAATTGATGCTTTCAAACTGTGGTCCTGGAGAAGACTCTTGCAGAGTCCCTTGGACTGCAAGAAGATCAAACTGGTCAATTCTAAAGGAAATCAACCCTGAATAATCATTGGAAGGACAGATGCTGAAGCTGAAGCTCCAATACTTCGGCCACCTGATGTGAAGAGTCAACTTATTAGAAAAGACCCTGATGCTGGGAAAGCTTGAGGGCAGAAAAGGGCAACAGAGGAGGAGATGGTTGGATGGCATTACCGACTTGGTGAACATGAGTTTCAGCAAACTCCAGGAGATATAACTGTGCCTTATTGCTCAATGTAATACAGGAAGGTATCAACAGCATCCTCAGTTACATTCATCAGGAGGATGCTATGAGAAAATTTACCCAGGACATTCATGGATTACAAGGAGAAATATAAAACTCAAGTTTTAATACACTGCACACTGCTTCTCCATCAAGTCACACCCAGAGTCAATGACATAAATTCATTATAAGGAAAAAAACTATTATTAAAAATGAGTTATGTTATGGTTTTTTTCTCTTGGCTAGGATATGAGTCTTGCTTATACTGGGTCTACTTACGATTATAGCAGGGTTCAAAACTGTTGTATAGATCTGATTTATAATATATAACTATCACATCATATTTATAATGTTATATACATTTTATGTGATATATGTGTGTGTGTATATATATATATAGATAAAGATACATATGTGAGAGTGGTCAAGAAAGCTTCAAAACACTGTTCACATTTCAACTCAAAAAGAACCATCTTCTGCCTCAAAAAAACCAAGATATGTTTCTCAGATGAGGTAAAAATATACAGAAAAGGATCTTTGCAAAAGTCCAAGCCACAGATTATTTTTATTTGACGAAAACTAGCAAAGGTTAATTTCTGATTCCTATCACCCCTAAATCAAATGATACCACAAAACTATGTAAGTTCCTAATCAGCAACAAATGGTCTAATTCTTTCAGTTATCACTTGATACAACTACATTATAAGAAAATTAATCATTTGGAATTCCTTCTAATGGGTTATAGTAGTTAACTGAAAACCCATCCAACAAACCATGGAGAGAAAAAGCAATTAACACTTACCTGCTGGAAATTTCAAAATCAAATGCTTTTGAAAACTTACTTTCATATTTATCCTTTCCCATGTAAATAGTGTAAGCAGACGAGTTAACTAAGACAAAACAAAAATAAGACATAGTTAGATAACATCATTACAGACACACCTATTTGGTGGGGAAAACAAAGGACAAATGCTTATGACAGGTTGGCAAAACATGGCTGCTAGGCCAAATCCAGCCTTGTTTTTGGACAGCCCTTGAGCTCAGAATGATTCTTACATTTTTAAAGGGGTGAAAGAAGCAAAATGAAGAAGAATAAGCTAGAGAGACTGTATGTGGCTTACAAAGTCTAAAATACTGACCATCTGTAAAACACTGTCCAACCCTCTTTAAATGGCTGCTTTCCTACTTTCTCAGGGAGGCAGCACAATGTAATTCCAGTTCCATCATCTACTTTTGCCTTCTTCAAAAAAAGTATATAAAAATATACTTTTTATAGTATATTATAAAATATATATATTATATATAATTAATATAATATATATATATATATATATATCCCCCCCCCCAAAAAAAACCACCCAAACTCATCACCTCAACCATTTAAAAATAGGTTCCTATACTGAGGTAAGGTTTATCTTTCATGATTTGATTTAGTTGCATTCCAGGGGTGCTGGAAATCATACCTGGCTCCCTACCACATTCAGGGGAAACATGGCTCTCAAGCTTCTCATCAGTGACCCTGAACCCTGTTTATAGAATCACCTAATTTTGCCCCAGCTCCACTTAAGACCAATCAAATCCAAATCTCTGGGGATTGGGTTTTATTTATTTATTTATTTTTTAAAGATCTCTTTTTATAACGATTTCTAATGTGAAGTCAGTGTTAGGAACTCCTACCCTAAATCAAACTGGATATTCTGGGTATGGCTTACCTTAGAAATGACATTGGCTTTCCTGAGCTAGTGTGTTTTGCTGTGGGCTCCTCCATCTGCAATCAGTTAGGTTTTGTAATTGAAATCCTAACTGGGTCCTGAGTTTCTGAGCAAGTCTACCAAAATCTTTTAGACCTCATTTGGATCTAGACTCCTGAACTAACAGCCACTCGGTCTCTGTCTACAAAGCCTGGCTGACAGGTGTTAAGGCTGGGCTAGGTGGTCTGCTGGCTGTCGCTCCAGAGCTGGAACTACTCTATTAAGTGGACCTCTGAACTCTTTCATTTGTAGATTCATAAATTCAGGGTTGCCTGTACTTTCCAAATGAAAAGCTCCTTAAATGATCAAGCATAGTTGCCCTTCTTGGGAACAGAAGATTCCCACTTCAGTGAGTAGTTATGATGACTACCATCCATACTACTTGGAAGTAGTTGAGAGAAGTTTGAAAGGAGAGAATGTCTGTACTGACTAATTGACAGAGAGATCTGTCTATAATTATTGTATTATCCTGATAAGCACTTTGCACAGCACTGGACAAACACCAACTGCAGGAATACAACTAAAAAGTATTTCAGATGTTCACTTGGGGCGATATTGTATTTGTACACCCTTTTGATCCTATAATGTCACCACTAAGAGTACATACCCTACTAATTAACACTTCTTCAAGCAATGAAGCTCTTCATACAAACTAAACAGGAGTTAATTAAGAACTATAGAACACACAAACAAAATGCCATGGATCCATTAAAAAGAAAGAGTAGGTGAATAACTAGCAGAACAGTATTTCTGTGTTATCTATAAACAGTAAGATTCAATCGGTTAAAAAAAATTGTACATATAAACATGCTTACATATATGTTTCTAATATACACACCCATTTTCTTTATACTATGGAAGGATATATATATGTTTAACTGTTAACAGTGACCTTACCTATTTGCTTACAAAATGTTTAGATGGTTTTTGTAATCAGAAAAAAGGTGTTTTTTTTTGAGATGACTGAAGTAAACAAAGCTGTCTCTGCAGGGCAAGCTAGCTAAACTCCTGCCAGGAGAATGAGATGATGGATGGTGGACCTATAAAATGAGGTGGTTAATAATATAATTGCTACAACCCCAAACTGAGAGGCATTCCACAGAATAATTTTTCAACAGACAGTGTCATGAGAGACAAAGATTGAGCAATTGCTCCAGATCAGAAGACTCCAGAGAGCAATGAATGACAAGAGAATGTAACAATTGATTTGCAGCTTTCTTCTGTGATAAATTCATTACTAGGACACTGATGAAAACTGGATAAAAGTTTCTGATTAGGTAACTGTATTGCTGCAATGTTAATTTCCTAATTTGGATAATGAACAGTGCCTTTTGATAACAGAATATGCTTGATTTTAAGAAAAATACCCTGAGGTACTTAGGGATAAGACACAACTTAAAGATGGTTCAGGAAAAAAAAAAAACCTGTGAGTGTGTGTGTGTGTGTGCAGAGAGAGAGTCGGGGGTAAGGGGAGGTGGAAAAAGTAGAAAAAGGAAAAGAAGAAAGGGAAAAGGAGATAAGGCATATGTGGTAAAATGTTTGAATTTGGGGAATCTGAGAGAAGGCTATAAAGGAAATCTTTTAATATTCCTGTAACTTTTCTGAAATGTTAAAATAGAAAATAAAATTTTTTTAAAAAAGGAGCATGACTTCTGAGTAAGAAGTCTGAATTAAGCTCTCCTCCACGGCTTCCCTGATAGCTCAGTTGATAAAGAATCCACCTGTAATGCAGGAGACCCTGGTTTGATTCTTGGGTCGGGAAGACCCACCTCAGAGAAGGGAGTATTCTTGGGCTTCCCTTGTGGCTCAGCTGGTAAAGGATCCGCTTATACTGCGGGAGACCTGGGCTCGATCCCTGGGTTTGGAGAATCCCCCGAAGAAGGGAAAGGCTACCCACTCCAGTATTCTGGCCTGGAGACTTCCGTGGACTGTAGAGTCCATGGGGTCACAAAGAGTCGGACACGAGTGAGCGACTTTCCTTTTCCATATTAGAGGGATAAAGGAAGAGTAAACTGAATTATTCTAGTACTCTTGTAACTCACCCAAATAATGTGATTAGTATGAAAATTAGTTGTCTTGAAGATTCCTGCCTCACATGTAGCAATCAACCCAACTTTTGAGGCCTTGTGATAATTTCATAATTTACAGAACCATCTATATTGAGATAGACACTGGTAAAAGGTACTAAAAACGTAAGTGAACTTAACGTGCTTAATGCACTAACATGTGCAGGAATCCATAAATCAGAGGGTCTTGAATGTGACACTGAAAATACAGCAAAGTTAATGTTTCCTTAATCTATTATGGGAGCATGAAAGAATAAGCAGATTTTAGTCAGAGATACTAATTTTAAAAGAGAAGGCAAAAATTTTCTATTGCGATTTCCAGCCCATTTTTTTTTAAAGGTTTTTTTTTTTTTTTTGCAGTAAACCATCAGTTGATTGAAAAGCTTGGCTATCTAGACAAAGTCATTTCCTTAAGATTCTGTATGTTCAAATTGTTTTCTGTACTGGAATATGTAAAAAATTTTACTACTATATTACTCTGCAATTTTAAAAGCTGCACAATTGTAGATTTATTAGACTTAAGAGGCCAAATATTTTTCCGACAAGAAGCAGTTCTGATGCTGCCATGGAAGCCAATGAGGAAAAAATAACCCACAAATCAGCTGAAGCCCTCTGCTCTATTAGGGGCATCTCCGTGTATATGACTGGCACTCAGAGAATTTAGAATCGCTTTAAGGAGAATAACGTAGCCTGTGTAAAATACATTTAGTACCTATATGTCCTGCCTCAGGCTGCCCAGGTGGCTCACTAAAGAACCCGCCTGCCAATGCAGGAGTCAGGGAAGATCCTGGGTCAGGGAAGATCCCCTGGAGAAGGAAATGGCAACCTACCCCAGTACTCTTGCCTGGGAAGAGGAGCCTGGCGGGCTACAGTCCATAGAGTCTCAAAAAGTCAGACATGAGTTAGCAACTAAAGGAAGACAACAACATGCCCGGCCTATATTTGTCATTCCATTGTTGGACTTGTATGGATAACTATGTTGTCAAGGACTCCCATGAGTGGAGAAGCTACAAAAAGATGCTTAGGTTATATTATGACAGAGGGGCAGAACAGGAGAGACAGCAGATAAAAATGCAATTAGGACCTTATAATGATTTTCAGGCTAGTTTGAATTTTGTTTCTAGCAATTTTAATAATATGGATAAAAAAAAACCAAGCACACAGAAACAGAGAAATAGCTTATAGCACACTGTGGAAGCTTAAACTATTGAGAAAAATGAGATGTGACAGTGTGATGGAGTAGCAGAGGAGGGGCTCTCTGAGTTACAACTTTCCTGGGCTTCAACTTTCTCAAATCTAAAGAGCAAGCACCACCCTGTTCAAACGCACATAACCACCATGTTGTTAGTTTCACTTAAATCTCACCTTTACCAAGTAGGCAGAGAGTAGCAATAGAATAGAGTCCTGCTGTAAGTCAAAAAATAGCATTCATTTATTCATTAAGTATTTACTGAGTTACTATTAAGAGCCAGGCATTATGCTAGTGGAACAAGGAGGTCCTGTAACTGCCCTCAACGGGATTAAACTCTATCTCAAGCAGACAAAAGTTTAACATCATATGATAAGTGCAATGCTGAAAGTATGCATTGTGTTAAAGGCATTCCCCCAAGAGATATACCTAAGCAATCCTGGGTGGGAACAAGGAAAGAAAGGCATTTGGAAAAGATAGGCGAGAGCTGTCTCTGGGGAGAAGCAGCTAACTGGGGGGTGGGGGGGTTGATTTAAGGCAAACAGAAAAATATAAGCAGAGAAACGAAGACACAGCAGTTCCTGGGAACTAAAGACACCCTTTTCTCGCCTGCCAAAGACAAATCAGAAACTATCATGTCACTTTTCAAAATCTGGGACATTAACTCTGCCCAACGAGTGGCTGTCTCGCCACTCCAGAGTCTTTCGGTAGCATCCAAACCCAATAACCCTTTCCCGAAAGGGTAAAGCGCACTTTCCGTAAGGTAGAGTTGTTGGCAGGTGTCTCCTTTCTTACCAGAGAGCAGCAAGATTAAATGTTACGGGGGTGGGTGGGGAAGAGAAGACTTCACGATGGTAGTGTGAATAAGTCCACAAACTGCCTAATTCCAGGTAGCGACAGGTCTTTCCGATTGAGGGAAAAGAAGGTCCCCCGGAGGCAAAGAGAGCTCTGGCGATGGTCCCTCTACGCTCCCTCCCCGCCAACCAGGCACTGACGAGGAGGCACAGTGGGAGGACTGGGACGGACACGGTGGAGAGACCATCAGGACGAGCGAAGAAGCACCCACTGCCGAGAAGGCACTTAAGGACCAGGGTAGCAGTGGCCTCGAGGTCTCGGCTTCGGAGCCCCACAGTCGAGGTAGGGACCGGGAAGGTTTCGGCGACCACTCACCGCTACTACTGGTGAAGTAGAACACCATGATTCCAGCGGCGTTGGGACAATTACAGCGCCCAGCAGCAGGATTCAAACCTAGAAGCTCAGGATGCCGGAAGCGCGGAGGCCGCGTTTCCCGGAACTGCTCCACGCACTTCCGGCTGACGTCGGGTCGCGTCATAACGCCGGTCGCCGGCGCCATCTTCAATTCGGCCGTGGAGGAGGTGTCGGCGCGATGAGAACTCTACTTACTTGGGGGTGAAAGGAAAGAGGATGGAGGAAGGAGGATTGGTGGGTGGAAAACGAAGCGGGGGAACTAAAGAGAAAAATGCCATTGCCTGGCTTTATTTTTAGAACCTGCACCCTGTGAGCTATCAAGTTGGTTTCCTTTGCCCTTTTTCACCCGCATCTGGGCTCCTCAAAAGTAGAAATCTGCCTTCTTCACGGCTACGCTTTCACTGAACTAATCACGGTACTTGGAACTTAGTATAGAAGCTCATTAAATTTTGAATGAACCCAAATTCCTCCACTATTCTCATTCTAGCTCCATCACTTGTTGGGCATTTTAGCTTGCTGCACTTAGCTGCAAAATGAGGATGAATGGAGCGGTTAATTCACAGGTTATTTTGTCAGGGTTTAGTAAGTTAATAGGTGTGGAAGGTTTAGGACGTGGTGAACACTCTAGAATAAGTGAGTTTCACTGGAGGCAACATGCCTCTCTGCGTTTGGACTTGTACTGATCTACCTTTAAATCCAAGATCTGCCATCTGTTACCTACGAGACTGAGGGAACCTCAGATCTTCCGGCTGTAAAGTGGGAATGATCTGACTCAGTTCCCAACAGCACTTCGCTTTAACCTGATTATTTATATTATCTTATTATGTGAAGTTAAGCGCATCACTTAACTAAATTTTTTTAGAACTAAGAAATGTGCCAGGGAGTGTACTAGGAGCTGGTACACAAAGATAACAGTAGCTAATAACAAAATTCTCCAAGCCAGGCTTCAGCAATTTGTGAACCGAGAACTTCCAGATGTTCAAGCTGGTTTTAGAAAAGGCAGAAGAACCAGAGATCAAATTGCCAATATCTGCTGGATCATCGAAAAAGCAAGAGAGTTCCAGAAAAACATCTACTTCTGCTTCATTGACTATGCCAAAGCCTTCGACTGTGTCGATCACAATAAACTGTGGAAAATTCTGAAGGAGATGGGAATACCAGACCACCTGACCTACCTCTTGAGAAACCTGTATGCAGGTCAGGAAGCAACAGTTGGAACTGGACGTGGAACAACAGACTGGTTCCAAATAGGAAAAGGAGTACGTCAAGGCTGTCTATTGTCACCCTGCTTATTTAACTTATATGCAGAGTACATCATGAGAAACGCTGGGCTGGAAGAAGCACAAGCTGGAATCAAGATTGCCGGGAGAAATATCAATAACCTCAGATATGCAGATGACACCACCCTTATGGCAGAAAGTGAAGAGGAACTAAAAAGCCTCTTGATGAAAGTGAAAGAGGAGAGTGAAAAAGTTGGCTTAAAGCTCAACACTCAGAAAACTAAGGTCATGGCATCTGGTCCCATCACTTCATGGGAAATAGGTGGGGAGACAGTGGAAACAGTGTCAGACTTTATTTTTTTTGGCTCCAAAATCACTGCAGATGGTGATTGCAGCCATGAAATTAAAAGACGCTTAGTCCTTGGAAGGAAAATGATGACCAACCTAGATAGCATATTAAAAAGCAGAGACATTACTATGCCAACAAAGGTCCGTCTAGTCAAGGCTATGGTTTTTCCAGTGGTCATGTATGGATGTGAGAGTTGGACTGTGAAGAAAGCTGAGCGCTGAAGAATTGATGCTTTTGAACTGTGGTGTTGGAGAAGACTCTTGAGAGTCCCTTGGACTGCAAGGAGATCCAACCAGTCCATCCTAAAGGAGATCAGTCCTGGGTGTTCATTGGAAGGACTGATGCTGAAGCTGAAACTCCAATACTTTGGCCACCTCATGTGAAGAGTGACTAGTTGGAAAAGACCCTGATGCTGGGAGGGATTGGGGGCAGGAAGAGAAGGGGACGACAGAGGGTGAGATGGCTGGATGGCATCACCAGCTCGATGGCCATGAGTTTGAGTAAACTCCAGGAGTTGGTGATGGATATGGAGGCCTGGTGTGCTGTGATTCATGGGGTCACAAAGAGTCGGACACGACTGAACGACTGAACTGAACTGAATAACAAACAAGTGCTTTAGGAACTTTTGGGCTTTCCAAAGCAAGAATCTACACTGTCCTATGAAAAGTAATTGTTCTCAGGCCCTCAGTTTTATTTTCTATAAAATGGGAATGATGGTACATATCCCGTAGACTGTGGTCAGTGAAATAAAACACAAAAACGTGCATGAATGACTGGCACGTAGATGTTACTGCCATGATATAATTTTTTATTTAACTGGAAAAAAAGATTGCTTCACCTAACATCTCTAGGGAAAAAAAGCAACGGTACCTCAGTCGGTAAAGAATCTGCCTGCAGTGAAGGAGACTTGGGTTGGATTCCTGGGTTGGGAAGATCCCCTGGAGAAAGAAATGGCAACCCACTCCAGTACTCTTGCCTGGAAAATCGCATGGACAGAGAAGCCTGGCAGGCGACAGTCCATCGAGTCGCAAGAGTCGGATACGACTTAGCGACCAGATCATCAGCATTATAGCGCCAAATGTGAAAAATAACTTGAGACTCTTACGCTGCTCTAAAAAAAAAAAAAATTCTTAACAGCAAGTGACCTCAATATATCGAGTAAGAGAGAACGCCGTCGTTCTGCGGAAAACTACAACTCCCAGAATGCAACTAGGTAAGGCCTCGAGAAAGGAGCCTGGCGCTGCCGCAAGGGGTTCTGGAAGACGTGGTTTCCGCCAGGGGAGAGGGTTCAGCCTTGCCAAGGGCGGGAGATTCTTGGAGACCGCCTCCTGCGAGGCGGGGCAAGCGCTGGTGCACAACCAATCGTCGAGTCCGCCCTTGGACACGCTGGGAGGCGGCGAATCGGAACGCAGCGGTTTCCGCCTGGACTGGCGCGCGAGAATTTGAATACAGTGGGGGACTAAGGGCTCGGCTGAGGAGAGGTCGTCTGTCTGAGGTGCTACGAGGTAAGTGCTGCCTGGGGCCGAGGCGTGATCTGGAAGAACCTGGAGACCAGGAGGTCCTGTGGAACGTGGGGGTGAATGTCAAAAAAAGAGAGCTTTTGCTCGGGGTTTGGCGCGTTCTAGGCTGGAGACCAGAGCTAGCGACCTGGTGTCCGCGCTTCTAGGTCTCCAGGTTTCCATCTTTCTGACGCTGAGTTTTCTCGCCTTTTTGCCTTGACAGCGTGTGGGGATAGGGTCGCTTTTCTCTCCTGTTTTTCCTCATTCAGCCTCAGAAAGGTCTTTAAAGCTGCAGCTCGGCACGAATTTCCAGAGACTCAGGTCTTTCTGTTTAACTTGAAAGTTATGCTTGTGTATTAAAAATACGCTTGAGCCGAGAGGAAGAGGAAGGGAAAATTTACTGAGCAACATACCATCTGCTGGAGAGTTAACATGCGTGATTGTGTTTATTACTCGCAGCCTTAGGAGGTCAGAGTATTTTGTAAATAAGAAGACAAGCGGCTCCTCAGCTAATAAAATGGGAGAGAATTATGCTTCCCCGTTTTCTTGCTGGCTTTTGGTGAAAAAGTTATAGATGGTTTCTGCCTTCATTGTACCTGCAGGCTGTAGGGAAAGACCGTCAAGCCAAAGACGAGAAAATAGGCAAAATGGATACCAAGGCAGTGCAGGGTGAATTGGAAGCCTAGGGCAAGAGCATCTAACAGCAGGAGAGCTGTTGGGATTTGGGGAGAGGCGGGTGGTGAAGGTTACAGGAAGGACAGCTGCCCAGGATATAGAGTGATTAAATTTGAGATGAATTCATCAGGCTGTTGAAGTCGGGAAAGTGTGTCCTGAAATGGGGTAAAATCCTTCCTCTTTGGTAGGACCATTTTCCAGCTTGAAATTTGTACTGTTCCTGCTTAAATTGTATTGTATTTGCTCAATTAGTGGGGGGTGGGGGGTGGGGTGGGGTTGGAGGTTGGAGGGGAGGGGGTTGGGCTGGGGGCAGCTTCCCTGGTGGCTGAGACGGTAAAGCGTCTGCCTACAATGCCGGAGACCCGGATTCAATCCCTGGGTCGGGAAGAGCTCCTGGAGAAGGAAATGGCAACCCACTCCAGTATTCTTGCCTCTAAAATCCCATGGATGGAGGAACCTGATAGGCTACAGTCCATGGGGTCGCAAAGAGTTGGACACGACTGAGTGACTTCACTTTCTTTGTGAGGTAGTGTTTTTAAATTTTCTTTTTTTTTTTTTACCTTCATGCTTTAAACCTATATCAAAGTAATTTGCTTTTTTTAAAAAAACCCTTTTTTTTAATCTTAATGAACCATCACCCATCTGAGAACTTTTTCAGTATTATAAATCATAGTTTTGATATAGCGATTTTTATACACATTGGATTTATTTGGTTATTATATTGTTCTGTTGCTTTTAGGAGTTAGGATGTCAACTTTAACGCCAACAAAAAGGAAGCAGTGCTCTTTGAACCGTGACACGTAAGTCTCATCCTGAGTGGGAATTCTTAAAAAAAAAATCTACCGTCTTAAATTTTTTTTATCTTCTCTCCCCTATGTCTAAATATTTCCATTCTTTCATTTACCTACTCCTTGTAGTTACAAGGATACTTTATATTAATTAATATAATTAATACTTTATATTAATTAATATGATACTTTATATTCTAATTCTAATCTGGAAATGCTATTTCAACTTTTATAATTAATTCTTTAGTGCCTTTGGAGGGAATCAGAAAAAGGGCTGTTATCTATGGCTTAGAAATGTGTGTCAGATCTTTTATTACCTTGCTTCTTTCTCCTCTCTTATGTAATATTTAGCATGCTGTTTTGCATATAATAGGTGCTCATCCTATTATACACAGCGATCCTAGAAAGCTGTGTACTCTGTATGTTATACCAGAGATATAAATAACAGGCCCTAAGTGGTCATTTTATTGTGTATATAGTTAATCATTTTAGGGAACTTGCTTCAGAGTATATGGCCAAAACTTAGAAATAGGTTTTAAAACACACATACACACACGCACATATCTCAAAGCTTCTTTGTAAAGTGTTTTCACAAACATTATCAGGGTCTTAGTTTTGAAAAATACTCAAATACTTCATAGACAATTTGAGAATTCCAACTGCTAATCTAATAGTGTATGTAGATGCTTTTGGAGATATATTTTTAATATGCCTTCCAGGTGAAGTTGTTTATTGCTTAGTAGTAAATTGACATAAAAACTGAAGCAAAATAACTATCAATGGACTGTGTTTCTTTTCATAGCCCATTATCAGAAATTCCATCAAAGAAATTAATTTTGGACTTCACTGAAAATGTATTTCCATCACCTAATAAAAAGCACAGTTGCCAAACCACTATTAAAAATGAAGGAAAGATTCATTGCTCTCAACAGGGCCATTTGATTTCAAGTCCACTCAAAATGACTAAAAATAGATTGCCATCTGCAAATCAATGTTCACCATTTAAATCTGCTGTGTCTGCTGTATCCTTTTACAACAAAGATAAGTGGTACCTCAATCCATTGGAGAGAAAGCTGATAAAAGAGAGGAGATCCATTGGTCTAAAAACTAATATTGAGGATAAATCGCATTCCTATATGACAGAAAAAATGCAAGGAAAACCAATCTGCTCCAAGAAGATGAACAAAAAACCACAGAAGAGTTTGACTGCTAAGTGTCAAGCAGGATACAAATGCATCAAGCCTGTATCAAAGAATTCTAAAAATTCCAAGCAGAACCAAGTGACCTATAAGCCAGCTGTGGAGAATAATTGTTACTCAGCTGAAAATAATCTGAATGCTCCTCGAGTTCTAAGCCAGAAGGTCAAACCACAAGCTACTCTTCAGGGTGGAGCAGCTTTTTTTGTTAGTAGGAAAAAGCCCTCATTGAGAAAATCATCCCTGGAAGATAAGCCATTACTGGGACTCACCCAGAAAAATAAATCAGAAGTTATTGAAGAGTCTGATGGAGAGACTGTCAATGAAAGAAGTTTTGAGAAAAGGCAAGCGCCAAAGTGTGTGTTAGTAGAAAAAGAACTGAACATTGAGCTGTTGAGTGAAAGAAGTAAAAGTGAAGAGAAATTAATAAAGGTAAAGGGAAATATACAGCTTCTAAAACTAAGTTGGTTTTCTCTGTATATGGTAGTGGTGGTGGTGGTGGTTTAGTCGCTAAGTCGTGTCTGACTCTTGTGACCCCGTGGACTGTAGCCTGCCAGGCTCTTCCATCCATGGTATTTCCCAGGCAAGAATACTAGAGTGGGTTGCCATTTCCTTCTCCAAGGAATCTTCCCAACCCAGGGATCGAACCCCTGTCTCCTGCATTGCAGGCAGATTCTTTACTGAGCTACCAGGGAAAACCGTATCTGTGTGTATGTATGTAGGTAGGTATGTGTGTGTGTAGCTAGTCCCTTAAAATGAAGCTCGGAAAAGAAAGAAATGTTGCAGAGAAATCATGTCATTTTAATAAGACTGTCTCTTCATTATGAAATAGACATGGAGAAGGCTAATAAGATGAATAGGTAGAAATGCAGAGGGACCCCCTCCCCCAATACACACACGCTTATTTTGATGGATTGAGAATTAATTTTAGCCTGAGCTGTGCCCCATATTTTTTAAATTGACATGTATCTATATACAGTGAATTGTACAGATATATAGTCTGAATTTTGATAAACTCACATAGCATGTAACCCAAACCCCTGTCAAGATATAGTTGTGTTTTTTTGTCAGAAACAATATAAAGAATTAGTAGAATTGCTCTTACGGCTTAGGAAAGCAAGAACATGTTCCATTTAGCAATATGCTTGGCAATACTTGATAGGAAGAAACATTGCCAGTGGGAACTGCAAACTTAAATGTTTACAAGGTAAGTAAAATTAGCAGCAAAACTAGTCTGATCTAGGTATGTTTCCATACACTGATTTAGTGGAAGGAAATGAGGAGCCGAGACCTGTCAAGTGGTAGCCTGATACTTTGTTCCCGGAGATTACTGTCATACAGGAACAAAATTTTGTTTAGTCTGGAGGAATGCTTTTATGAAGCCAGATACTATCATCATTATAAAGAATTTTGAGGCAGAGTAGAAAAATAGGATTTTCCTCCGTCTTTTGGCTTAATGAAGCCTACCATCATTTTTTGGTAATGTGGTTTTATGGTATTATGGTTTTGGTATTATTGAGGTAGCTCTTTAAGTTCCTTCATGACTGTGGTCCAGAGAAACTTAACTTTTATTTGATAGTCAGTGTTTTTAGGGGGTTCCCAGGTGGCACTAGCAGTAAAGAACCTGGCTGCTAGTGCAGGAGACAGAAGAGACATGGATTTGATCCCTGGTTTGAGAAGATCCTCTGGAGGATGGCATGGCAACCCACTCTAGTATTCCTGCCTGGAGAATCCCAGGGACAGAGGAGCCTGGCAGGCTACAGTCCATGGAGTTGCAAAGAGTCCCAACACGACTGAGCAACTAAGCACAGCTTAGCTAAGGGTAAATGCTGTTTTCATTAGAGAGTGCATAACCTTTTCCCAACTCTGGAGCCTTGAGAAACGGCAAACTGATGGCTTGTCCCCACTTCTTCAGAGATAGTTATGATCTCGAATAGGAGTTCTTCTTTAATCAAAAGTTTTTCCTTTTTCCCCAAGCTGTATGTTCTCTTAAGTCTCATCAAATAAGTAGTGTTTACTGAAATTTGTCATAAGTTTGTCTACTTTGTTTTTCCCACCTCCCTGCTACTATCCAAAAAGTGGGAGTTAGAAGCCTCTCCAACTACTCCAGAATGTTTTTCTCTCCTTTGCTCCCTATTTTTAAAGCTTGTGACAAAGGGTTGGTTCTTTTAAGTTTGGTGGCTCCTAGGGAGATTTTTGGCATTTTTACTGATTTTTCTGTTGTTGTTCAATTTATTTTTGTGGATGGGATGTTCTATGATTTTCATTCTGTCATCTTTGTCAGGAAATAATACATTTTTGACAGGATGACAAATTATAAACTTAAATGTGCACACTCTATCTTTTAAAAATATTACATTTAGTAAATATAGAGGAAATTTTCCTTAAAACAGACTGAAAATTGAGGATTTAAAGTCATTATGAAATGTAATTCATGATAAGCTACATATTTTGTTTTGTTTTAGAAACATATCTCTTGGGATGCATTGACTAAATGTGCGATGATTAAGAATTATAGGTTTCTTTAATTTTACTCATTATTTTCAGGATGCATCAGATGGAGTCATTTCTTCAAGGGAGTGTAAAACTAATGAAAATAAGAGTTGTCCTTCAGAGGAGTCTTTCAGTGAGAACGAGGCAGGTAAGTAAGAGAACTTTTCTTCTCAAAATGAGATTTTTTCTTGTAATAATGCTTCATTACATGTGTCAGTATGAAAGTATATACAGTACTATTTTGGCTTTTTAAAATATTCAGTATCCATGACTTTGTATGTTTGTGTTGCTCTCGGTAACACTGTTGAGGAGGAGACAAGGAGAACTTATGTGAGAACTTAAGACAAAATACTCTGATTAATTGGTCTGTGAGATATGGCCCAGTTACTTAAGCTATCTAGAGCTGAGTGTTCTCATCATACCTACCCTTTTACCCCAAATGATAGGAGGGAGTGAAAAAAATATATATCTGTGATCAAAGCCCAATTGTAAGCAGAATTCACTAAGCCATAAGAGGTCACTGGATTTGGCATCAGGAGTCTTGGGTTTTGTCTGGATCTGCCAGTGATTAACTGTGATCTAGGGAAGAGATCTTTCAAGTAAGAGGTTGGACCCAGGGAATGAACCCAGGCCATGGCAATGAAAGCACTGAATCATAACCACTGGACCACCAGGGAACTCCCACTTCTTTTCATTTTTTTTAAATAAGCTTTTCATTTTGTAGTGATTTTAGATTTACAGAGAAGTTGTAAAGATAGTACAAAGAGTACGTGTCTTAACCCCATTTACCCTATTGTTGTTGTTCAGTCACTAAGTCATGTCCAACTCTTTTGGGACCCCACATGGACTGCAGCACTCCAGGCTTCCCTTTCTTTCACTGTCTCCTGGAGTTTGCTCAAACTCATGTCCATTGAGTCAGTGATGCCATCCAACCATCTCATCCTCTGTCTCCCCTTCTCCTGTCCTCAATCTTTCCCAGCATCAGGGTCTTATTTTCCACTGAGTCTGTTCTTTGCATCAGGTGGCCAAAGTATTGGAGCTTCAGCATCAGTCCTTCAATGAATATTCAGGGTTGATTTACTTTAGGATTGACTGGTTTGATCTCTTTGCAATCATAAGGACTCTCAAGAGTCTTCGAAAGCATCAATTCTTCAGTGCTCAGCCTTCTTTATGGTCCAACTCTCACATTCATACATGACTACTGGAAAAACAATATTTTTAACGATACAGACCTTTGTTGGCAAAGTGATGTCTCTGCTTTTTAATCCACTGTCTAGTTTCATCATATCTTTCCTTCCAAGGAGCAGGTGTCTTAATTTCATGGCTGCAGTCATCATCTGTAGTGATTTTGGAGTCCAAGAAAATAACATCTGTCACTGCTTCCACTTTTTCCTCTTTTATTTGCCTTGAGGTGATGGGACCAGATGCCGTGATCTTAATTTTTGAATGTTGAGTGTTAAGTCAGCTTTTTCACTTTCCTCTTTGACCCTCATCAAGAGGCTCGTTTCCTCCTCTATACTTTCTGCCATTGGAGTGGTATTACCTGCATATCTGAGGTTGTTGATATTTCTCCTGGCAGTCTTGATTCCAGCTTGTGATTCATCCAGCCCAGCATTTTACATGATGTACTCTGCATAGAAGTTAAATAAGTAGTGTGGCAGTACACAGCCTTGTCATACTCCTTTCCCATTTTGAATAAGTCTTTTGTTCCATGTCCTATTCTAACTGTTGCTACTTGACCTGTATACAGGTTTCCCAGAGACAGGTAAGGTGGTGTTACCATCTTATACTACTATTGTACTTTTGTCAAAACAAAGAAACTAATCACTGGTATATTACGATTAAATAAGCTCTAGGCTGTATCTGGAATTGACTGGTTTTTTCATTAACATCCCCTTTTTGTTGTAGGACCCAGCCTAGGAATCACATTGTATTTAGTTGCCGTGTCTCCATAGTCTCCTCTTGTCTGTGACATTTTCTCAGTCTTTTCTTTGTTTTCATGACCTTGAGGAGTACTGGCCAGATATCTTATAGGATGTTCCTGCACCTGGGTTTGTCTGATGTTTTTCTCATCATTAGACCGGGGTTATAGGTTTGGAGGAAGAATGACACTGAGGAGAATGCCATTCTCACCACGTGACATTATAGATGATGTTAACTTACCTCTATCACTTGGTCAGGTTTGCCCAATTTCTCCACTGTAAAAGTTACCCTTTTTCCTTTGCCAAACTCTGTTCTTTGGAAGTAAGTCATTAAGTCTAGCCTACCCTTTCAGGGAGGGATGGGGATTAAGCTTCATCTCTTGGAGGGGGAAATTTTCGCATATATTATTTGGAATCCTTCTGTTAGGAAGAGTTAGCTCTCCTCTCCCATTTATTTACTCAATTTTTAAATAAATAAATAGACTCCTAAATATTCACGAGTATGCACTCATGAATATTTTATATTTGGGGTTAAAATCTAATACTACATGATTTAGTCTGTCATTCATATTGTTCCAGCTTTGACCACTGGGTCAGTTCTCTTTGACATGTCCCCTTCTTTTGCTTTTTGAGCACTTCCTTATTACTTTCTGACACTACAAAAGGCCATAGGCTCATCTTGTACTTTCCCTAACCTAGTCCTAGACTCAGCCATTTCTCCAAGGAACCATGGTCCCTTCTGTTGGGGAATATTATTTGGAAACCAGGTTCTGGACTTGATGTGGTTATTGCTACTGGAGTACTTTTGGTGTTGTATGTAAAAACTTATGAAACCCAAGTTCATGTGGAATTTTCTTCTAGAAGTTTTATAGTTTTACATTTTGCATTTAGATCTGTGATCCATTTTGAGGTAATTTTTATGTGAGTGTTGTCATTTTTTTTGTATATGGATGTCAAATTGTTCCAGCATAATTTGATAGCTATCTTTTTGCCATTGAAAAATCAATTGACTATACGTGCATGGGTGGTGGGTGTTTTGGGGCTCTATTTTATTCCATTGATCTGTTTGTCAATACCATACTGTCTTAATTACTGTTAAGTCTTGAAATCAAGTATTGTGAGTATTTTGGTTTTATTAATCTTTAAAATCTTATGCTTTAAAGCTTTAAGTTTATTCTGTGATACAAATTATTGTTCACTTTTTACCCCTACCAGTTTCTCCTGAGTCCATTGTCTATCCCATCTTCACTATGTGTTCAGTCAACACAAAAAGGTAAGGGTTGCTCTTATTTTAATGTTCAAGGTTTAATTATGAGTCCACTGGGTCTCTCTTTTTTCTTATACTGTTTAACTTGGAGAGCATTTTTCTCTTCCCCATTGAGATATTTAGAACAGGAGATGAAATCAGACCCTCTCATAGAAACTTCATAGGACCTTGAAGCATTAAGAAAGGAAAAGACCTTTATGGGCCGGAATAATAGTAATTTCTTCCATTTTTGTGTAATACCTGACCCATAATAATTTATATTCACTATTTCACTTATCCCCACAGCAACCCAGAAGCTTGATATTGTTATTACCCTTTTCAGTAGAGAGAACTTTGTAATTCAGCCACAGTTGCACAGCTCTTTGGTGACAAAGCCAGGACTAGAATCCATATTTAATCAAAGCCCATTAGGCTGTATTGCCTCCTCTGTGTGATAACATACTGATAATAGTTCATGTTTAATGGGCACTCGGCATGTCATGGTGTGGATACCGTCATTACCCCATTTTACAGATGAGGAGACTGGCCAGAGGAATAAGTAACTTGCAGCAACTCAGAAGCTACACACTATCCTGCTCAAAACTAAAACTGGAACTGGGGGAGGCATGGGTGCTTATGAGTATACACAAAAAAGCTCTGAGGACGAAGTTTCTTACAGTTTGAGCACCTCGCTAAGCAGTGTGTTAAGTCACTTCAGTTGTGTCCAACTCTTTGCAACCGTATGGGCTATAGCCCACCAGGCTCCTCTGTCCATGGGATTCTCCAGGCAAGAATCCTGGAGTGGGTTGCCATTTCCTTCTCTAGGGAGCTGCTCACTAAGCAGCTTTGTTTCTTTTTTCCCTGTTGATGATAAACATCTGAAGATATTGAGCAGAGTACTTCCTAGTAAAGTTTTCCTGCTCTTAGGGCATCTCACCCTGAATTGTCTTGGAGATTGGTTGGGTGGGTAGTTTTTCCCCTGCAAAGACCATATTCCTAATTTCTTTCGCCTTTCCCTTTTCTCATCTGTCTTCTATTTATTGAGGATCAAAACCTATCACAATTAGCTAACAGTGTGTAAACTAACCTAGCGTAGGGAGATGTTAAGAGACTGTTGGTTGAATCATTTGAAATTTGCTCATTAGGTAGGACCCAAAAAGTCAGATATCTTCAGTTTCCTGTGGTTTAATCTGACTTTTACTTTAGGTAGATCACAGATTGTCTTGGTTTGTACTCTCACATTTGGCGAACATTTATAGAATACCATGTGGTATTGAACTACACTGGATTTTAGAAATGTGAAGATAAGTACAACATGGCTCTGCTGTCAAGGAAGTCATGGTTAGGAGAGGACAGACATTTAAATGAATGTGTATAATAAAGTGTTAACATTGCTAGGCTAGAAGTAAAAATGCCTGCAAGGCTGGGAAGTGCTGAGTTACTTAGCACAGGCTGTATAAGGTGTAGAGGAGTCAGTGACCTAGACAAGTGTTTTTTATATTACTGGCATTATTAGCATTGATAGTTTGTCACATCAATAAAAATTTAAGGGCATCACATCTAGCATTTTTTCTTAATGGAATAATACATCTCTCACATAGTATATTTAGTGACCAGTTATGTATGTGTATCTGTATTGGTCATAATGGGAAATATATTTCTCACCATAGTTTTGTCAAGTCATTATAAAAGCCATTTTCTAGTCAGATGATAAGATGTCCTCTTATCATCTGACATATTGGGTTAGCATATAGCATTACAGATGGTATTTTTCCAGTGTTTTTTTAATTTATCAACGTGAGTTTCTGTTTGAACTTCTCGCTTTGGGTACTTGCGCCCCACCCCGCAGCCCCCTCCCACCACTACTCTAGAGATTTCTATTTCTTTGATCCTTGGGAGACCTACAGAGACTGCAGCCAATTGGAGAAGCACACCCCATCTAAAAGAGCCTGTGCCAGTAGCTCCAACTCTTAGATTCCTTGATGAAACAGCTCTAATGATCTTCCAGTGTCTCTTGCAATATTGGAAATACACATTTTTAAGTGAAATCTCTAGATTTTAAAACATTGGTAGCTAATCCAAACTCTATGTGAGCCAATCAAAATATCTGCTAGCTAAATTTGGCCTATGGGCTCCAGTTTGCAACCTCTATAAGCCAGCCCCAGCATTGTCTCCTAAAGGAGAAAGATTGCCTCAACATCTATCCAGCTAAATTTTTTTTTTGTATAAGAATTTAAGAATAGTAGGGTGCTGCTTTAGCCGTGTATTAGCCTCACTCACTGCCCCATGCCTCAGTAAAAAGTTGTTGGATCATAATATGCTGGTTGCTGGTGACTGACTTCCTGTGGGTCTGTGAGATCCAGTATTAGAGTATACTTATTTACTGTGGCATTCCATGAATTTCTTTATGCCTGCATGGGTAAATATTGTCTTAAAATTTGAAAAGCAAGAAAAGATTAATTTTTAAAGGTGACATCAACTTATGAAGAAATCCTGTGTATATGTATCTGATTTGTTGTTGTTGTTTAGTCAGTAAGTCATGTCTGATGCTTTGTGACCCCGTGAACTATAGCCCACCAGGCTCCTCTGTCCATGGGATTTCCCAGGCAATACTGGAGTGGGTTGCCATTTCCTTCAGAGGATCTTCCTGACCCAGGGATCAAACCTGCATCTTCTGCTTAGCAGGTAGATTCTTTACCTCTGAGCCACCTGGGAAACCCATATGCATCTGATACTGTAGATGAAATCCTTTGAACTTGGAGTTAGAAGACAGGAATTTGAGTCTTTCCATCATTCTTCCCTAGTTACTTTACCTTGAGTCGACTACCAATCCTGTCTGAGTGGGCCTCGGGCTTCTCATTGTTTCTAGCCCTATTACTTCATCAAGTTATTGCCGATAGAAAGCACTAAAAATTGCAAAGTCCTCTGCACATGTTACATACATATGTTTTCTTTTCATTATAATTTATCAAATATGTTAAAATTATTAAATAACACTTATCACCTTTTTATTCCAAGATCTCTAGTTGAAGAACAGTCTTCTGTGGGATCCACCACATCTACTAACTTCTTAAAACAAATCAACGTACAGAAGAGTACTAATATGAAAGATTCAAACAAAGAAACAAAAGACCAGCTCATTATTGTGAGTAAATTTAAAACAAAGTTCCTCCTGTATGTGGGTCTCACATATAGAACCTGAAGTCTGACGTGTGGTCTTAGCCTAGTTACCAGGAGTTATAGATGTTCTGAGTTTGTAAATGCTACCTTTGCTGTTGTGGCAGCATTTAAAACCTGTCAAGAATATTTTTGAACTGATGGTGTTGGGGAGTGCTGGCAGTTTAGTAGAATGCTGATGAATGAGTTGTCTCCAAATCAGGAAGATTATAGTCAGTCTATAAAGGACTTAATGAGAAGAGCTACACTGCATTAGACCTGGGTTTGGCAGATGATACCTGTGGGCCAAAGTTGGACCATGGCCTTTGAGCTAAAGTAGCGTTTATAGTCTTAAAAGGTTGGTGAAAAAAGGAGAGGAATATGTGTGGCCTGCAAAAACTAAAACGTTTACTATCTGGCCCTTGGCAAAAAATTTGCAAACACCTATATAGACAGTTCAAAATTTGGTGTTTTCAGTAGCCTTAAGCAATGCCGTGTGAGATAGAATAGGAATTAATAAGCCTTGACATTGAATGTCCTTGAATTCTCTATATTCATTAATTTATCTATGCTTTTCTTAAACTTTTACTATGTATTATACTTAATTTTTATCAGCTCTTGCAGAAAAGAATTTTAATATTTAATTTTTAATTTTATTAATATTTAATTAAAATTAATTTTTTCCTAACCATTTAAGGAAAAAATGCTATCTAATGAATGTATAAGTCCTGAAATTTTCCCCTGCTTCTTTGAAATAAGGCTTTTTTAGGCCTTTCATATAAGAGCTTAATAAGGATGTTCCATTTTTCATCTTAGCTATAATATTTATGATTTCATCTTATTCCTTCTTAGAACTATGGGTCCAGCTAAAGAATCTTGGTGTGTTTTTTTTCTGCTGTCCATTCAAAGAGGCAGTTTCACTTCTTTTATCATGATGGCATGTTAGGCTCTTCTCATTCTGTTTTGTTGGTGAGTAGAGAGAGAGAGTAACCAGACTTTCATTTATGTTTCACCTGTACCAGCATAAAAGGAAAATAAGGACAAATTTGAATGAATGGACAAATTTACTAAATGTAGAGCTATCTGTGATGTGTTTAGATGGGCTATTTTTTCTCTTCCAACTGTAGGATGCAGGTCAGAAACATTTCGGAGCCACTATGTGTAAGTCCTGTGGCATGATCTACGCTGCTTCCAACTCTGAGGACGAACTGCAGCATGTTCAGCATCACCACCGATTTGTGGAGGGAATCAAATATACTGTAAGTATAAAAAAAAAAGTTGTTTCCGTTTGTTCTAAAAGTGAAACTACTTTAAAAGAGACATTCTTTTTGCCTAAATATAGAAAGATTTACATATGCAGAAATACTTTATCATCTGTAGTTTTGTTGTGTGTTTAATATTTGAGACTGATGGTATTTTAGTTTTAATAGATGTGCCATTTCAAACTTCATGTGCTAATATAAGAGAAGTTACTGCTCTTGGTTGAATGAACACCCTGCATCCTTACCTCTAGCTTTTAGAGCAGAACTGAGCAGTCACGGTAGAAAACTCAAAGACTTGAGGAGTTTCCCCTTTCCTCACTCCAGTTTCTTCTTTCTAGATAACCTCAGAAAAACAGCTTTCTTTGACTCCTCCAGGGTATTTCTTTGCTCTTCATGAAGCACCTTCATGAAATACCTTCCAAGTTCAAATACAGCCTGTTGTTGGCCTTATCTTTATGATTGCACCTGCTACTCAAATGCATCTCTGTTTTTCATGTTTTTATTGCTGTAGTTCATGCCTTCATAATACTTTTAGCCTGATTTATTAAAATTCTTCTTATCCTGCCCCTCCCCCACTTTCACACTCCTAATTTGTGGGTTTTTTCTCTGTATTCCTACAAAGGGCTCTTATTTGACTTCGCCTTATTTTGTAATGGGCTTACCTTGTGGCTCAGCTGGTAAAGAATCAGCCTGCAATGCAGGAGACCTGGGTTTGATCCCCGGGTTGGAAAGATTCCCTGGAGAAAGGAAAGGCTACCCACTCCAGTATTCTGGCCTAGAGAATTCCATGGACTATGGGGTCGCAAAGAGTTGGACATGACTGAGCAACTTTCACTTTCTTTTACAATAGATTATTTACGTGTCTCCCAACAGTATGTCAGCCCCTTGAGGGCAGGAGCTTTGGTTCAGTCATCTTTTATTTCCCTTACCACATTCATGTAGTTGAATTTTATCTTTTTTGTATCATTCATTTATTCATCTTTTTTGTCTTCTCCAGACCACATTATTTAATTTCTTTTCCGCTTTAGATCAAAATGTGCTTTCCCCCCCCACCCCCCACTTTTGACAGGGCTGGAAAAAAGAACGTGTTGTAGCTGAGTTTTGGGATGGGAAAATTGTGTTGGTCCTGCCACGTGATCCGAGTTATGCTATCAGAAAGGTATGAAACATTAGTTTTTCTTTTTAAATTGAAGTATAGTTGCTTTACAATATTAGTTTTTCAGTCTTTGTTTTCCTTCTACTCTCCCCATTCTCCACCAAAAATCGACCTATATTGAAGTATTATATAAAACACCTTTGCTTATAGATCATCACTGTACATTGGTACAGGTGTTAGGATGACTTTCAAAGTAGTTCATACAAAATTAAACTTACAATTACCAAACAAGTAAAGGTGTGTCAAGAAGAGATTAAAGAAAACAGATAAGAGTCCATAGTGTATTGCTTGCCTACATCTTCCATTTGTGAAAAATAAACTAAACTTATAAGGTTGAGAAATTAATGGCTCCAGGGTCTAATTCTTAGGTTGGTATTGCCTTTGTTTCTTGGGCTGGATGTTTCACCCCAGTGGACATGGGATAACGCTGAAACAGAATCTTCCTACTCCCTGTTCGGCTCAAGGGTGCTGAAAATGATCTTTAAAATACTTTCTTAAAACCCTGTTTCTAAAGTGGCAGAACCATGCCTCAATAGTGGAATAATTTGGGGGTTGTGAAAATTTAAGAAATAGAGACAAAAGAGGTTAAACTGATTAGCATACTTTTTTGTGTGTAAATATATATATATATATTCTGTTATATTTTAAAAAACAAATTCATCTCTTTTGGTTTTTGACATCATTAGGTTGAAGATGTCCAGGAACTTGTTGATAATGAGTTGGGCTTCCAGCAAGTTGTTCCCAAATATCCAAACAAAACCAAAACCTTGCTGTTTATCTCTGATGAAAAGAAAGTAGTTGGGTGTTTAATTGCAGAGCCCATCAAACAGGTATGGTATGCTGTCTTACAAATTACTGGAGTAACTTTTGAGCAAAATGAAGTAGTCGGGAGAAGTCTCAAGCATTTAAGAAGGCTACCATTAATGATCTTTTTCCTTCTAAAATACCCTTGACCATCTGGATAACTGAAGTCATTTATTTCTATTATGTCTGGTATTTTGCCTTGTATAATCAGGATTAGTCAGTCTTAAGCTCATATAGTTTTTTATATACTTGGATTATAAAGTATAGTATTTTAAACAAGCTCAGTTATTGAACATGTGGCTTAGTGCAGGTTAATATATTGGCAAAATGGTTGTTCAGTTCAGTCGCTCAGTCGTGTCTGACTCTTTGTGACCCCATGGACTGGCTTCCCTGCCAGGCCTCCCTGTCCATCACCAACTCCTGGAGCTTGCTCAAACTCATGTCCATCAAGTTGGTGATGCCATCCAGCCATCTCATCCTCTGTCGTCCTCTTCTCCTCCTGCCCCCAATCCCTCCCAGCATCAGGGTCTTTTCCAATGAGTCAACTTTTCGCATGAGGTGGCCAAAATATTGGAGTTTCTGCTTCAACATCAGTCCTTCCAGTGGACACCCAGGACTGATCTCCTTTAGAATGGACTGGTTGGATCTCCTTGCAGTCCAAGGGACTCTCAAGAGTCTTCTCCAGCACCACAGTTCAAAAGCATCAATTCTTCAGCGCTCAGCTTTCTACATAGTCCAACTCTCACATCCATATATGACCTCTGGAAAAACCATAGCTTTGACTAGATGGACCTTTGCTGGAAAAGTAATGTCTTTGCTTTTTAATATGCTGTCTAGGTTGGCCATAACTTTTCTTCCAAAGAGCAAGCAATCTTTTAATTTCATGGCTGCAGTCACCATCTGCAGTGATTTTTGGAGCCCCCCAAAATAGAAGTCTGCCACTGTTCCCATTGTTTCCTCTTCCTCATCTTTTTGCCATGAAGTGATGAGACTGGTTGCCATGATCTTGTTTTCTGAATGTTGAGTTTTAACCCAGGTTTTTCACTCTCCTCTTTCACTTTTATCAAGAGGCTCTTTAGTTCTTCCCTGCTTTCTGCCATAGGGTGGTTTCATCTCCGTATCTGAGGTTATTGATATTTCTCCCGGCAATCTTGATCCCAGCTTGTGCTTCATCCAGCCCGGCATTTGGCATGATGTACTCTACATAGAAGTTAAATAAGCAGGGTGACGATATACAGCCTTGACATATTCCTTTCTCAATTTGGAACCAGTCTGTTGTTCCATGTCCAGTTCTAACTGTTGCATCTCGACCTGCATACAGATTTCTCAGGAACAGGTTAGGTGATCTGTTATTCCCATCTCTTGAAGAATTTTCCACAATTTGTTGTGATCCACACAGTCAAACGCTTTGGCATAGTCAATAAAGCAGCAGCAGATGTTCTTCTGGAACTCTATTGCTTTTTATGTGATCCAGCAGATGTTGGCAATTTGATCTCTGGTTCCTCTGCCTTTTCTAAATCCAGCTTAACCATCTGGAATTTCATGGTTCATGTACTGTTGAAGCCTGGCTTAAAGGATTTTGAGCATTACTTTACTAGTGTGTGAGGTGAGTGCAATTGTGCAATAATTTGAACATTCTTTGGCATTGCCTTTCTTTGGGATTGGAGTGAAAACTGACCTTTTCCAGTGCTGTGGCCACTGCTGAGTTTTCCAGATTTGCTGGCATATTAAGTTCAGCACTTTCACAGCATCATCTTTTAGGATTTGAAATAGCTCACCTGGGATTCCATCTCCACTAGCTTTGTTCATAGTGATGCTTCCTAAGACCCACTTGACTTCACATTCCAGGATGTCTGGCTCTAGGTGAGTGATCACACCATCGTGGTTATCTGGGGTCATGAGATCTTTTTTTAATAGTTCTGTGTATTCTTGCCACCTCGTCTTAATATCTTCTGCTTCTGTTAGGTCCATTACCATTTTTTCTGTCCTTTATTGTGTCCATCTTTGCATGAAATATTCCCTTGGTATCTCTTAATTTTCTTGAAGAGATCTCTAGTCTTTCCCATTATATTGTTTTCCTCTATTTCTTTACATTGATCACTGAGGAAGGCTTTCTTTTTTTTTTTTTTTTTAAATTTATTTATTTATTTATTTATTTTTTTTATCACAACCATAGTGTATCTTTTTTTTTTTTTTTTTTACATGTATTCCCCATCCCGGTCCCCCCTCAGGAAGGCTTTCTTATCTCTCCTTGCTGTTCTTTGGAACAGCATTCAAATGTGTTTATCTTTCCTTTTCTCCTTTGCCTTTAGCGTCTCCTTTTTTCAACTATTTTTAAAGCCTCCTCAGACAACCATTTTGTCTTTTTGCATTTCTTTTTCTTGGGGATGGTCTTGATCACTGCCTCTTATACAATGTCATGAACCTTCATCCATAGTTCTTTCGGCACTCTGTTTTTCAGATGTAATCTCTTGAATCTATTTCTCACTTCCACTGTATAATCATAAGGGATTTGATTTAGGTCATACCTGAATGGTCTAGTGGTTTTCCCTACTTTCTTTAATTTAAGTCTGAATTTGGCAATAAGGAGCGCATGATCTGAGCCACAGTCAGCTCCTGGTTGCTTTTGCTGACTGTATAGAGCTTTTCCATTTTGGGCTGCAAAGAATATAATCAATCTGATTTCAGTATGGACCATCTGGTGATGTCCACGTGTAGAGTCTTCTCTTGTGTTGTTAGAAGAGGGTGTTTGCTTTGACCAGAGCGTTCTCTTGGCAAAACTCTGTTAGCCTGTGCCCTGCTTCATTTTGTACTTAAAGACCAAATTTGCCTGTTACTCCAGGTAGCTCTTGACTTCCTACTTTTGCATTCTAGTCCCCTATGATGAAAAGGACATCTTTTTGGGGTGTTAGTTCTAGAAGGCCTTGTAGGTCTTCATAGAACTGTTCAGCTTCTTCAGCATTACCGGTTGGGGCATAGACTTGGATTACTGTGATATTAAATGGTTTGCCTCGAAAACGACTAGAGTTCATTCTGTTGTTTTTGAGATTGTACCCAAATACTGCATTTCAGACTCTTTTGTTGACTATGAGGGCTACTCCATTTCTTATAAGGGATTCTTGCCCATCAGTAATCAGTCAGTTCAGTCACTCATTCATGTCCGACTCTTCGCGACCCCGTGAACCGCAGCATGCCAGGCCTCCCTGTCCATAGTAGTAGATATAATGGTCATCTGAATTAAATTCTCCCATTCCAGTCCATTTTAGTTCACTGATTCCTAAAATGTTGATGTCCACTCTTGCCATCTCCTGTTTGACCATTTCCAATTTACCTTGATTCATGGAGCTAACATTCCAGGTTCCTATGCAGTATTGCTCTTTACAGCATCGGACTTTACTTCCATCACCAGCCACATCCACAACTGGGTGTTGTTTTCCCTTTGGCTCTGTCTCTTCATTCTTTTTGGAGTTATTTCTCCATTTTTCTCTAGTAGCATGTTGGGCACTTACCATCCTGGGGAGTTCAGTAGCATATCTTTCATTGTCCTATCTTTTTGCCTTTTCATGCTGTTCATGGGGTTTTCAAGGCAGGAATGCTGAAGTGGTTTGCCATTCCCTTCTCCAGTGGACCATGTTTTGTCAGGACCCTCCACCATGACACATCCATCTTGGGTGGCCCTACATGGCATAGCTCATAGTTTTATTGGGTTAGACAAGGCTGTGGTCCATGTGATCAGTTTGATTCATTTTCTTTGATTGTGGTTTTCATTCTGCCTGCCCTCTGATGGATAAGGATAAGAGACTTTTGGAAGCTTTCTGACGGGAGAGTCTGATTGTTGGGCAAACTGGGGCTTGTTCTCATGGGTGGGGCCATGCTTAGTAAAGATGGCGGAGTAGAAGGACGTGCCCTTATCTCCACGAGAACTCCAGAATTACAACTCTCTGCTGAACAACCATCGACAGGAGAATTTTGGATCCCACCAAAAAAGGATACCCCATGTCCAAGGGCAAAGGAGAAGCCCCAGCAAAACGGTGGGAGGGGTGAAATTGTGTTTAGAAGCAAACCCCATGCTGACCAGAGATGCTGTGAGGGCTCAAACAGAACTTTGTGCGCACCAGGACGCAGAGACCCCACAGAGACTGAGCCAGACCTGCCCTTGAGGGTTTGAGTGTCTCCTGTGGAGGTACGGGTCAGCGGGGGCTTGCCCCAGGGGCAAGGGGCTCTGCGAGCAGCAGACCTGGGTCATGCAGCCTGTGGCATAAGCCCTCTTGGAGGAGGTTGCCATTAACCCCACCATAGAGCCGCTGAGCAGATGCCCCACAAACTGCAGAACAATTACACCAAAGAAATTCTCGCACTGTTGAAGTTCTAGGACCCACAGCAGATTTCCCAACTTGGGGATCTGGCAAAGGGAATGAGAAGCCCCAGGGATTTTGACTTTGGAGACCAGTGGGATTTGATTACAGAACTTAAACAGGACTGGGCAAACAAACTGTTGTTTGCACAAAACCTTGTGTGCACCAGGATCCAGGGTAAAAGAGCAGTGATCCCATAAGAGACTGACCCAGAGCTGCCTGTGAGTGTTCAGGAGTCTCCGGCAGAGGCGTGCGTTGGTGGTGGTCTCCTGCAGTTGGGGGCCTGAGTGCAGCAGTGCATGCCCAGGACCTTTTGAAGGAGGTCGCCATTATCTTGATTACCTCCACAGTAGTTTGGTCTCAGGTTGCATAACAGGGAGGGAACACAGCCCCACCCATCAACAGAAAATTGGAAAGTGGTGGTTACTTGTCCTGTAATTAGAATCTGCTTTGGATACTAATTAACAGTGTTCTGGCAGAGGAGTTAGCAAATAATAACCCATGGGCTAAGTGTGGTCTTCCTCTTTTTTGTAAATAAAGCTTTCTTGGCCCAGAGCCATGGCTCACTTGTCTTCATATTATCTGTGGTTGGTTTTGTGCAACAGTAGCAGGGTTCAGTAGGTGCAGCAGAGACCACATGGCCCAAAGAGCCTAAAGTATTTACAATTTGGTCCAATACAGAAGAAGTTTGCCAGCCCTTGTTCTCAAATAGAGATAATAATTTTTGCCCTTCAAGGAGCTTACAGGGTAGTCATAAGCTAGAGAGAGTTATAGCTCAAATGTGTTCTTTTACCCTGACTTTATAATATCATACACTTATGTCCCTTTACTTTTAAAAATGCTTAATTGTTTTAAGACATCTTGAAATGATGCTAGCATAAATTGGTCTTACTCATTTTTAAAGTGCCTCCCTTTTCCCTGTCCCCCCTTCGTATGAGTGGAGAAAGAAAAGCAGTTGGTTTTATTTATTACATCTGTAAAAGTAATCAATTTGGCCTTTTCTTTTCTTTGATCTTAAGTGCACTGTTTATGTAGTAATAATAGGCAATACAGATTGTCTCTGATTTACAACTTTTCAACTCTGCAGTGGTGTGAACACCATAGGCATTCAGCAGAAACTGCTTCAAGTTTTCATATTTTCCTGGGCTAGCCGTATGCACTTTTGTGATGCTGGGCAGCAGCAGAGAATGGCAGCTCTAGTCTACTAGGCGGATCACAAGTATAAACAAACAGTATATTTAACAACCGTTCTCTACATACAGCCTTTTTGGTTTTCATTTTTTGTACAGTATCCAGTAAATTACACAAAATATTCAGCGCTTTTTTTCCCCTTATATTATCGATTTGATTTTTATTTATTTGGCTGTGCCAGCTCTTAGTTGCAGCATGAGGGATCTTTAGTGCAGCATGTGGGATCTAGTTCCCTGACCAGGGATCCAACCCGGGCCCTTACATTGGGAGCTCAGAGTCTCAGACACTGGACCACCAGGGAAGTTCCAGCACTTTATTATAAATTAGGCTTTGTGTTAGATGATTGTGCCAACTATAGTCTAATGTAAGTATTCTTAGCATAGTTAAGGTAAGCTAGGCTAAACCATGAGGCTTCCTTTCAATGTACAGTGTGTTCAGCTTATTGCCTAGTTTATTAGGGTGTGACTGTAAGTTGAGGAAGATCTGTATAGCCAACTGACTCGTACATGTACTCTTCTATTCATTCTCATTTCAGAAGCAAAGTGTTCTTGATGGAAGTTAAAGCTTCACATGCACCTAGGAACAACTACAGTGGAAAACAGTGATGATAGCAAATGCTGGTGTGGGTGCAGGGAAAGGAGGTTTTTTCACTCTTTGTTTGAGGGAATGTAAAATAGTACAGCCACTCTGGGAACAGCTTGGCAGTTTCTTAAAAAATTAATCATACATTTACCATATGACTCAGCAATCATAGTCCTGGGCATTTATTCCAGAAATGAAAACTTATGTCTACACAAAAACCCATAGCTGAATGTTTATAGCAGCTTTATTTGTAATAGCCAAAAGCTGGAAACAACCAAAGTGTCCTTCAGTAAGTGAGTAATTAAACACACTGGTATATCCATACAGTGGAATATTACTTGGCAATAAAAAGGAACAAACTGTTGATACATGCAACAACTTGGACAGGTTATCAAGAGCATATTGCTGAGTGAAAAAGAGCCATTCTCAAAAGATCACATGCTGTATGAGTCCATTTATGATATCCTTAAGATATCAGAATTTTAGAGAGAACAGATTGTTGTTACATGGCTTAGCAATGATGGAGGGGAGAAAATGGGTGTGATTATAGAGAGGTGGCAAGAGGAAGAGCTTCATGATAATGCAGTAGCTTTGTATTTTGATTGTAGTGATGGTTAAATCAGTATTCAGATATGAATTGTCACAGAACTGTCCCACCCACATTGTTCCCATGTTAATTTCTCAGTTTTGGTATTGTACTACAATTATGGAAGATGTAACCATTGGGGGAAATAGGGTGAAGGATACACATCCTCTCTGTACCATTTGTCAGCTTCCTCTGAATCTACAATTATTTCAAAATAAGAATTAGAAAAAACTTAAAACACCACTTTCATAGTTTATATGCAAAAACCTTTAGTGTTTTTTTTTTTTTAGGATATCATATATACACTTTAGAATGGAAAGAATGAGAGAAGCTTATGTGCTTTATTAAAAGCCTGAATTTTATCATTTTTTTTAAATCAATGAAGAGAGTTTCACATTGGTATAATACACCAATTGGTGTATAATTGGTATAATGTGGGAATATCGCAACACCACTATCATTTTTCTGCATTAAGTGAATATAATTGGGCAAGAATTCAAGAAATAGCAAAGAACTTAAACATTTTTATGAAGGTGGAATAAGATTCATTTTAGATACTTAAGTTTTGTTTTAAAAGAAATGTGAACTTAGCTGTACCATTAGCTCTAATGCCTCTGTGCATTATTGCAGGCCTTCCGTGTCCTGTCTGAACCAACTGGCCCAGAAACCCCAAGCTCTAAAGAATGTCAGAGGGCTTGGCAATGTTCAGATGTACCAGAACCTGCAGTGTGTGGGATAAGTAGAATCTGGGTCTTCAGACTTAAAAGAAGAAAGCGCATTGCCCGACGACTGGTAGACACGCTCAGGTAAGAAGTAAAATTGGTTAGACCCAGGTTAGCACTCCCAAAAGCTTTCCTGGCTCATGAGCCAAAGGGAATGACGTTGGTCTGTGTTAATACTACCAAAGTCAGGCTAACGCAATGCTGACACTGAAAAAAAATACTAGGTGTACTCAGTTTTGCACACAGTATTCCAAGTGTGATATATTCTAGACCAGTGCTTTTCAAACTACCTGTAGTCAAAGACTGGATTCGTTTATAGACCAACACATTAATAAGATAAAGATTAAAAAAAAAAAAGATAAATTGCTAGGAAATGAAAGAGGAAAAGAAGGCAAACAAATGGAAAATATAAGCCCAACTTTTTATTAGATTCAACAGATGTAAAATTAATTTAAATATAACCTGTAAAAACAAAATAGAGGTTTAAAAAAAGAATTGTAGAAATTGTATGTTTATTGATGTGTGACTAGATGATTATAATAGAGACTTACTGTAACACAAATGTAACTAAATGTAAAAGTGAATTAGCAAGACAACCCAGAGAATAGTTATTTACAAATCATTTATCTAATTAGTAAAAGTCTAGTATATCTAACATATATAAGAGAACTCTCACACACACATACCTTACAAAGGGGAGCAGTGAGAAAAGTTGGTGTCTGTGAAGATTTTTATTTGTAGTTCATTGTGAAATAACCTCCATTTTCTTTATTTTGTATTGAGATACATAAATTTGGCGTGGAGGATGTGTGTGTATATGTTAGCCACTCAGTTTTGTCTGACTCTTAGCGACCCCATGGACTGTAGCCCGCCAGGCTCCTCTGTCCATGGACTTCTCCAGGCAAGAATACTGGAGTGGGTTGCCATTCCCTTCTGCAGGGGATCTTCCTGACCCAGGGATCAAACCCAGGTATCCTGCACTGCAGGAACATTCTTTACCATCTGAGCCACCAGGGAAGGCCATGGAGAATACCAGTATTTAACCTGGTTCTACCAGGCAGTAGTCCGGTGCTTCTCTAATGTGAAAGTGCCTATGAACAACTTGGGGATCTTGCTCTAATGCAGGCGTGATTCAGTAGATTGGGGTGGGCCTGAGATGCTGCATTTCTAACAAGCTCTTGGCTGATGCTGAATGTTGCTGGTATGTAGGTAATACTTTGAATAAGGCAATAGATTGTAAGCAGTGATAAAAATAAAGTTGCAAAGGAGAAATGTAAAACAATCATTTGAGAACATATCTTCTCACACATTTGGGTTGGAGATACAGGTAACATAATTGGCAGCTCTCCTGTATATGAGGAGCCTGATCCTCTCTCTGTACAGGCAATGTATGTTTTAAGTCCTCACAAGTGAACAGTATTATTCCTAATTGTTTTGTATCAGAAGCAGCTGAGGCTCAGATAGGATTATTAGTACAGATTACACTGACGGAGCTAGTAAAAGGAGAGTTAGGACTCAAAGCCACAGATCTAATAATACTCTTTGAGTAGCTCATACCATTCATGAAGACAAAGACAACTGCTTAATCAATATTTTGCTTTGGAGTCTAGTATATACAGCAATACACTTTTTATTCAATTATGTAGTAAGTATACTTGAAGGTGATACCTTTACTTCTCATTGAGTCCAATTCTTTTTTATTTTGAAGTAATTTCACATATGGAAGAATAGTAAAAAGAACACCCTTAATATCTTTGTCCAGATTCTTTTTTATTTTCTTCCTGAATTATTTTAAAGTAAGTTACATATAATATGCCTCTTTACCCCCTTAGTACTTCAATATGTTCAAGTATATTGTCTTACATAAGAACAGCTCAGTTACCAAATTTGGGATATTTAATATCTAATGTATAGTCCATATTTCAGTTTTGTTATTTGTCTCAAATGCCCTTCATAGCATTTTTTTTTCCTCTTCAGGTTTACATATTGCTTTTAGTCATAATATCTCTTTAGTCTTCATCTTCCTTAACCTGTAAGTTACTTAGCCTTTCTTTGTCTTTTAGGACTTTGATGAATTTGAAGACTAAGGCCAGTTATTTCATAGACTATCCCTCAGTTTCATTGAATCATTTCAGCTATTTCACTTTATTGCTTTTAATCCCAGTTGAGCTGGATCAAGGAGAGTTGTAGTCAAAATGCAGTCAAAAGGTAGTCAAAAGGCAAAATTAGGTTTTGCCTTCTTAAGAAGCTCTGAATGTGTGATGTAGTTGAAAAGAAGATAGTTATTGGTTAAAATTGTTTTTTATTGTAATTATCTGTGGCTTTTAATTAGCAATATTATTTCATATCAGTAGCTTATTACCACAGATCACCTACAGTCAACTAGATGGTTTGTATGGTTCTCTTTGCCTCTCAGCAGAACTTTTTATGGGCCTTAGTTTTCTCACCTGTGAAATGATACCATTAAACTTCCACCCCCTAAAATTTAAGACATTGAGTCATTTTACCACTTAATAAAATGATTTTAACTAAGAGTATTTTAAAAGATTGAGGGGCTTTCCAGGTGACTCAGTGGTTTTTACAAAAAACAAAAACAAAAAGCTCATTCCTGCCAATGCAGAAGACAGGAGTTCGATACCTGGGTCAGGAAGATCCCCTGGAGTAGGAAATGGGAACCCACTCCAGGATTGCCTGGCAAATCCCATGGACAGAGGAGCGTGGAGGGCTACAGTCCATGGGATCGCAAAGAAGTTGGACACGACTTAGTGACTGAAAAACAAAGAGATTGAAGTTTTTTTAACTAGATTGCTTTAAAATATTGTACTCATGTTTAATCAAACTTTAAAGTTGGTTCCATTGTTAAATTGTCCTTTTCCTCTTTTTTTAGGAATTGCTTCATGTTTGGCTGTTTTCTCAGGACTGATGAAATAGCATTTTCTGACCCAACACCAGATGGCAAGTTATTTGCAACCAAGTACTGCAACACACCTAATTTCCTTGTATACAATTTTAATAGTTGAAACCAATTTCAGCTATAGAACAGTTATGTGTGAATGAGTTCTGACAAACTATTTAACAAATAGCAATTATCTAGGGATACAAAGAAAGGAAAAATCTTTAATGTATACTGACTAGCACTCTGAATCCTTAATTATGAAACTTTGTGGCTATAGCTGGAAAATTATTTCTCTTCTATGTAAGAACATTGGTTTTTCACAGAAATTTGACCAGTTATTTGTAAAGTACACTTTGAGGCCAGAATTACTTCATGCCTTAAAGATAGGCAAATTTCCATCCCCATTTTTTAAAAGTAACTCCTGATTTCACACACAAAATTCTCATTTTATAGGTCCTTGGCTGTAGCAACTCAGTTTAAGTATAGTTAAAGTATTTTGAATTTCCAGTTTGTACCAGGGAAGGATGTAAGGAATAAGATTTCCATGTCTTTTTGTATAGAACAGAATTTATAGCTAAATATTTTTTCATTTTAAAAATCATTATTCAGAAGGCACACTTCAGATTTAATTAAAATTAAACTTTGTAATTGCACTATTGTCATTTCATTAATTTTTGGTGTTTGTGCTACTTTTCTTTAGTGAACTTATTACTAGTGATTGGTGTCTAACAAAATGATACCCAGTTGGATTAGATGATTCATATGGTTAGATTTTAAATGTATACTAACAGAACCAAGGTTAATAAATATATCTAGGCTGATGGGCCACAGAACATGATGACTTTATGTAAATATACCTAAATATGGATACATTTTTCTAATATAATTCATGGATACTTACTTTGAGAAATTCAGCTTTTTTTATTATTATAAAGTCATGTAGTTTCACTCTGGCAGTAAGGCTCTAGGGAAGTGTAGTGTCCAGGTCATAACTCTATAGAATCTGTTCCTCTCCATTCTTCTATTTGCCTTTAAGTTAATAGTTCTAAAATTTAAAAGTTTGGGTTCTAAAAAGACTGTGAAAGTGTTAAAATGTGTGTAAATTTTCCAAACATTTTAATGCTAGTTTCTGTACTGCTGTATTTAAAAATTGTCTGAAATATTTTATTTTAAAACTTTTATTAACATTATTTTGCTCAATGACTTTATGATGAATCAATTAAAATTCTTTTCTGTATTATTTTTCTATTCTCTTATTCAGTTGAATGTACTGATTTTCATTTTAGTTTGTGGTTGTAAAAATAGTACATGCGCTTTGTAAAAAAAACAATCATTGAAAACTATATCTACACAACAACCTGCACAGATACTTAGAGCAGCTGTTGACCTAACACAAATAGACTGCCACTTAGCGAAAATGGGTTTATTCAAGATCAGCAAAGAATTACAACTCAGGGTCTGCAGCCATATTGACCATGTTCAAGTCCTCAGCAAAAACATGGAGAGAACTCTTAAGGAGAGAGAGGAAGTTTGGGAGGGCAATAGTAAACAGTCCTGCACTTAGCATTGGGTGAGTTGTGACTGTCTCTCATTGGCCGAGCTGTTGCTAGGTAAGAAAGTCTGCTTCTTGTTGGACTCTGCTGTCTTCATAGGGCATGCACGAGAGCTCCCCCTTCTAATCTTTATTTAATAGAAATTTTGATTAGAAATTTGTTTGCAAAATAAATTTTTATTTATATTTGTCACACAAAAGTATATGAAAAAAATTCTAAAATAATCTACACATTGATAGTCATTACTTTTTATTAAATCTTTTTTCCCATTTTATTTATTTTGCCGAAGTGTACTTAATTTTGGGCTTCCCTGATAGCTAAGTTGGTAAAGAATCCACCTGCAATGCAGGAGACCCTGGTGCAATTCCTGGGTCGAGAAGATCCACTGGAGAAGGGATAGGCTACCCATTCCAGTATTCTGGGGCTTTCCTTGTGGTTCAGCTGGTAAAGAATCTGGCTGCAATGTGGGAAACCTGGGTTCAATTCCTGGGTTGGGAAGATCCCTGGAGAAGGGAAAGGCTACCCACTCCAGTATTCTGGTCTGGAGAATTCCATGGACTGTATAGCTCATGGGGTCACAAAGTCAGACATGACTGAGCAACTTTCACATACTTTTTTTTTACAGTGTTTCAGGTATATAGCAAAGTGATTCAGTTGTATATTTCTTTTTCAGATTCTTTTGCATTACAGACTACAAGACATTGAATCTAGTTCCCTGTGTTTTATAGTAGTCCTTGTTATCTATTTTATATATAGGAGTATGTATCTGTTACTCTGTATTTATTTATCCCCCTTCCTTTCCCTGTTGGTAACTATAAATCTGTATTCTGTGTAAGTCTGTTTCTGTTTTTTAAAGAAGTTCACTCGTTTCATTTTTAGGATTCCACATATAAGTGATATATTTTTTCCTTCTTTGACATAGTATGATGATCTCTAGGTCCATCCATGTTGCTGCCAATGGCATTATTTCAATTTTTTATGACTAATATATATATGAATATAATCCATAAAATTATATATATATATATACTTTATCCATTCATTTGTTGATGGACATTTATGTCACTTCCATGTCCTCACTATTGTAAATAGGGCTGCAGTGACCACTAGGGTGCTTGGCTTTAAGTAGTTTTTGTCCTCTCTGGATATATGCCTAGGCGTGAAATTTCTGGATCAGGTGGTAAATCTTTTTTTTTTTAAGAACTTCCATACTGTTCTCCATAGTGGCTACACCAGTTTACATTCCCACCTATTGTAGGAGGGCTCCCATTTGTCCATACCCTCTCCATTTATTTGTGGATTATCGATGCATTTATTATTTATGCATTTATGTAATTATTGAGCATTCATTATCTGTAGATTTTTGATGATAGCCATTCTGAACTGTATGAGATGATACCTTATTGTAGTTTTGAGTTTCTCTAATTTAGGGATGTTGAACACCTTTTCATGTGCCTGTTAGCCATCTTTATGTCTTGGCAGGTATTTCTGCTGATGGGGAGGTTTGGTCAATACAGTGCAGGTACATAGTGCATAGGGGAACGGAGAGAAAGCCAAAGAACAGAGAACATTGTTGAAGTTTTTGTTTTGCCATAAAATACAAATTTCATTTCACATCTCTTTTATAGGGGCACTAATCCCATTTGTGAGGGCTTCACCCTCTTGCAGTCACCTTCCAAAGGCCCCACTTCCAGATACAAACACGTTGGGGGTTAGGTGTCAACATACGACTTTCACTGGAATGTTCACTTCCAATCCACAGCTAGTGTAAAATGATGTTTCCTACATATTTTGTTAGATATGGACACCTTTTCTTATATTAAGGAAGTTCCTTTCTATCCCCAAGTTTCTAAGACTCCTTTAAACTTCTTGAAGAGATACTGAACTTTATCAAAACTTGTATTCCACCCTTTGATTTTTCCTATATTAATATGGTTGTTTAAATGTTAAACCAACCTAGCCTTCCTAAAATAGATCCAACTTGGTCTTGATGAAGTTTTTCTTTTTTATATTATCAGTTTGGGTTTGTTTGGGATTTTTCACATGTGTATGAATGAGATTGGGTATGTATAGGATCTGCAGTGATGTTTCTGTCTTGACATGTCTTTTTTGCTCTCTAGATGAGATCTGATAGGGGCTTATCAATCTTTCAGATTTTCAAAGACCCAACTTCTGGCATTGTTGACCCTATTATGTTTGTTTTCTATTTTCTATGATAGGTTTTGTTTTAAAATTTCTGCTCATTTATTTGCTATTGGAAAGGAGTCTTGGTTTTTCCGAGATTCTTAGCTCATCAATTTTTCAGCCTTTTCTCATGTAGCATTTGAGACTATAACATAAGCACAACTTCAGCAGCATGGTTTTTATATAGTTTTCCATTCACTTTCTTGACACTTTAATTATGTTTTAACAGAAGATAAGCCATTAATGATGTATATACTATTGCTTGGTACAATCTCATACTAAAAGGAAACTTCTGTTCAATTCCAGAATTGTTTAAAGCCCAGAGTGCAGTGGTTCTTAATCTAAGATCCCCCACGTGACAGTAATTTTTACCCTAGACGTATCAGTAGATTGACAAGCACAATTCAGTACTTGAAAAATCCCAGGAGATGTGGCTCAAAGGTAGAAAATAAAGGTTCAAATCACTCTCATTTTACAGCTTAACAACATAAGGCCAAGAAAGAGGGGAAAAACCTGCTAATGTTCACTCAATAAGTTTAATGACAACACTCAATACAATGGAGTACAAAATAGGATAACACACCTTTAGGTAACTGACATGTCCTTTATTCTATATTGTCCTATTAGAGTTTTATTTACACCAATACTGTGATATGCTTAAAATATAGATCAGTAAATAAAAATATTAAAGATACCAGTACAGAAAATGCATTTAACAAATTAGAGCAAAAACCAAAGCTCTGGAACAAGACAAGCCTTAACCAAAAATGTTTGGATATACCCAGGGAACTCCTCTTATGAGCCACATCCCAGGCCTCTGGTCTTACACTTTATAGAAAACCCTCTACAATTTTAAATGCTTATTAACATAAGCATACATGAACTACCTTTATAATAAACAGTTGTTCAAATGTTAATAAGGTGCTATCTATGGTCCTAAAATAGGCCACTTCCATCTAATAATTATGGATCGTCATAATAACTACATAAATGTATCATGGTAAACAGAATACCTATATACATGAGCCATACTTGAGGCTCCAGCAGTCATGGGTATGAGGTGATCACAGGACATCCATTTCTAAAGCCTCAACAATGCGCGCGGCAGAAGGGCGGTCTTTAGGATCTTCATTAGTGCATACGGAGAAGAGCTCAATTACTTTCTGGTACGTTGCATCCAGTTCCTCCATATTAATAGGTGGCCTAGTTCCCAGAGCTGCATAGTATGCATCATCATCAAAGTCACTTTCATCAAAAGTTTTATCTGCTCATGAAGGAGTTAAGAAACAATTAAAATCACTTTAAATCATGGAAAAGGTTAACAACTGCTCAAGCTCACTGTCCTGAAATAATTCATCATCCAATATGCTTTTCATTTTACACAGTCTCTTAAACTGTCCTGCCATGGTGTAGATTAATTATTGTCAGGGATTTAAAGGTTAGCAACCCCAATCCCCTTACTAGGGTAGCTTTCTAATCATTTTCTCAGGCAAGAGGAGTTTTTAAGGTAACTTCTTGCTCCTCTGGATTTTCTCAATTTATCTCCCTGTTCTCAATATACATCTCATTTGTATGAGGTTAAACCAGTGTCTGACCCTGCAACCCCAAGAACTGTAGCCCACCAGGCTCCTCTGCTCATGGAATTCTCCAGGTAAGAATATTGGAATGGGTAGCCATTCCCTTCTCCAGAGGATCTTCCCTGGAGGGGAAGAACCCAGGTCTCCCACACTGCAGGTGGATTCTTTACCTGGGATCAAACCCAGGTCTCCCACATTGCAGGCAGATTCTTTACTATCTGAGCTACCAGGGAAGCCCCAATTTATAAATTATTCCTTAGTTCAAACTGAGAGGTTGGGATTTATGTTAAAAACACGTAGCTATACCTTCATCATCATCATCATCTGGAAGATTAATGTGTGGAATAGATAAAGTCATCATTTCCCACAGAGTAAGACCAAAAGCAAATATGTCTGCCTTGTCAGTAATAATACCATCCTCCTCCAGAGCTTCCTTAGGTTTCCAAGGCTCAGTGCCAATGTAACAGGCCTCAGGGTCAGTCACTGAAAACAAGATACAGGCAAACTGATCAAAAGGGCGAGCACCAGAAACCACTAAGAAAGGCAACAACCCAAAGAAAAATGGGTGAGTTATTTAACAGGTAGTTTAAAGGTTAATTAATATAGCCAGTAAACATGAAAATACATTCAACCTCGTAAAAAGAGGTTTTCTCTATCAGATTGTTACATATTCAAAAAGCTAGTCAGTAGGCAAGGGTGTAGAGAAACAATTCTCTTAGAAAGGGGCACAAACGTAGATTGTGGATGTCTGGAGCACAGACTTGAGCCAGACTGCCTCACCCGGGTTCAAAGACCTGTGCAAGCTCTGTGACCCTGAGCACATCACCTACTCTCTGTCCGTTTCTTCCTTTTCAAACTGTGCTGTCTCAGCTGAGAGACGACCACTTCCCTGCCTCTAGGATTGCTAGATCAGCAAAGAGGGAACAGGTGGAATTACACAGAGGCTTTTAAAGCTTCTCTGCCCAGGAATGACACAGGTCCACTCGTGTTTCCATTTAAATGTCAGAGGCAACTTCTCAATTGTCATGAGACGGCCAGCTTTCTAGCTGAAACTGGGATTAGACTGAATCACTAGATCAATCTGGGAAGAATTAACATCTTAACAGTATTGTCAGTCCATAATCATGATCTCTCACTTAACGTCTTAATGCTCTCAGTGAAGTTTTATGGTGTTCAATAAAAAGGTTGGACTTTTGGTTTGACTTATTCAATTATTTTATGCTTTTTGGTGTAGCGCCCCCCTCCTCATTTATCCCTGGGGGATACATTTCTGGATCCCCAGTGGATGCCTGAAACTAAGGACAGTACCAAACCCTATATATATATAGTATGTTTCCCTATACACGCACATCTTTAATAAAGTTTAATTTATAAATTAGGCACTACAAGAGTAACAACAAAAATAACATAATAAGATAGAACAATTACAATATACTGTCATAAAGTTATGAGAATGTATTCACTATCAAAATTCTCTTACTGTGCAAATGTGTGCCTTCTTCATAACCACGCACTTACAACACACAGTGGCCATAACTTTTAAGGTTTGAGGTGTAATAGCAAAACTAGTATAAATATTTTTCCTACTTCAAAATTTCACAGATACAAGTTGCAGCAGATCTCAGCAAACTCAGCATCCAATTTTTTTTCTTTCCTTATTAAGTCTAGAGCTTTCACCTTTTCACTTAAAGGAAGCACTTTATGGCTTTTCTTTGGCACATCTGAATTGCCAGCACCACTATATACTTTGGCAACATTATTAAGTAAAATAAGCGTTACCTGAACTTAAGCACTGCCATACCAGCAACAGTCATCTGATAACAAGGTGGCTGCTGGGTACCTTCCATCTAGATTAGGAATCCTTCAAGGGGAAGGACTGTGTCCTTTTCTCCTCTATATAGTGCCTAGCACAGTGCCCGACTATACATACTATTAAAAATATTTGGTAAATAATCAACCCAGAAATTACCATCATTAACATATGGACTTTTCATTAGGAAAAGACTGAAGGCAAAAGGACAAGGGGGCAGCAGGGGATGAGATGGATAAATAGCACCACCGACTCAATGAACATGAATTTGAGCAAACTCCAGGAGATAGTGAAGGACAGAGGAGCCTGGTGTGCCGCGGTCCATGGGGTAGCAGAGTCAGACACGACTTACCGACTGAACAACAATGCCAATGCATCCTTGTAGCTTATTTATTTCATACATAGTAGTGTGTGTCTCTTAATTCCCTATCCTTTTCTTGGTACTTCCCTCTCCCCACTAGTAATCACCAGTTTGTTCTCCACATCTGTTTCTTCTTCGTGATATTCACTTGTTTATTTTTTAGATTTCCCAAGTGTGTGCTCAGTTGCTCAGTCCTGTCGACTCTGTGACCCCATGGACTGTAGCCCGCCAACCTACAGGCAAGAATACTGGAATGGGTTGCCATTTCCTTCTTCAGGGGATCTTCCAAACCCAGGGATTGAACTCGTGTCTCCTGCATTGGCAGGCGGATTCTTTACCACTGAGTCACTGGGGAACACTCCACATTTAAGTGACAGGCAAATTTTTAATTTAGCTTTTTATTTATTGACAGTAAATGCCATCATAGTTACCTTCAAGGAAGCACAAACACAGGGTTCACGGCCATACAGGACTGATGCTGCCTGGCAGTGAAAATCTAAGGTGTTAGTTAGCATGTTTACTAGGATTTTTGCTGTTTTTAGTATGCTTTGTTTTCAAGGGTGCATGGGTTTTGATTCTTCTGTTACAACTCTTCTGTAAGCCTAGTCCTAGCTTCTGACTTTTGCAGAAATTAATATAACAGATTAATGTAAAAAATACCCATACTGCCCAATTTTTTTTTGGAATGTGTTCTTGGGAATGGAATTACAGGACTGAAGGGCATAAACATTTTTAAGGGTTGTTTTTCAGAGAAAATACATACATCTAAACTGCCCTCTGAAAAGGCTACACACTGTGGTGATCACTATTGCTACTCCCCACCATCTACGTGCACAGAAGGACTGCCTTCTAGACACATAGGAGGACCACACTTTCTGGCCTGTCATGTTCTTGGGTGAAGCCACTTGACTAGTTCAGGGCAGTGACTTGTCAAAGAAGTGACTTACGTCATTTCTGAACTGGGGCATTTAATTGTCAGGGCAAGACTTTCCAGGGTGGCACTGTACAACAGAACTTTGGTGATGATAAAAATGTCCTTTATCTGTATTGTCCAGTATGGTAGTCACTAGCCACATATAGCTACTGAGCACTTGAAATGTGGCTAAAGTGGCTGAGAAAATGAATTTAAAGAATTTTTAATATATTAATTAGTTTAAATAGCCATACATAGCTAGTGGCTACTGTAGTAGACAGGCTTCCTGGTACCTCAGTAGTAAAGACTGCCTGCAATGCAGGAGATGTGGGTTCAATTCCTGGTTCAAGAAGATCCCCTGGAGAAGGAAATGGTAACCCACTCCAGTATTCTCACCTGGGAAGTCCCATGGACAGAGGAGCCTGGCAGGCTACAGTCCACAGGGTCACAAAGAGTCGGACACGACTGAGTAACTAAACAACAACCAAAAAAACTGCAGTGGACAGTGCAGTTCTAGAGTTTTTTACCTTCCACAGTGATGGACACAGTGATGGACACAGTGACAGCAGTATTCCATACAACAGATACCCTAGCGTGTTAGGTCCTGATGTGAGAATGACATGGAACACAGGCCTAGTGGATATGCAGCTTGAAAAATAAGCCTTGCTTATTTTAAGGTAGTGAGTTTTTGAGGGTTTATGTTACCATAGCAAAACTGATCTTAACCTGAATGATACATTACGACTTCTATGTAGTGCATGACAGTATGTTAACCTAAACTCTTGTTCATACTAGAATGGGGAAATTTTTCAATGACTTTTCTAGTAATCATGACTTCTTTTAAAAAGTGGTTTCTGCCTCTCATGTCCTTCTTAAGCCCAACATTAAGGAAATATTCACCAACAATTTTTTCTGTTACTTTTTAAAAAATCTTCAATCTACAGAGATTAGAGTGTGAGAACAGAAAACAACTTTCTCTAAAATAAACAGATACCATCATTTACTAATTTAACTACCTCTTTTCCCACTAATACAAAAACGTCACCTTTATCATATAACAAATCTCATATATTTGGGAACTATCTTTTGACTCTTATGTTGAAATTTTCTGTCTAGTTTGGCATTAGTGTCACTTACTACAGTTTCATAATACTTAACATCTCATCAAGAAAATTCCTACTCAACACTTTTTCACAGAATTTTCCTGGCTGTGTTTGAACATGTATCCTCAAGGATAATCTCTATATTCTCTTTGATATGTTCTATAATAACATAGATTATATTGCGATATTGCAAAATTTGTAGATTTTTAAGTCATTTCTGCTTTTTTCTTCTGGGGTTTCATTTTTTTTTTTTTCTAATTTCAGCTGAAAACTCAGTTTCATAAAGGTTAAATAATGACAGTGTTTTCCTTTGAGTACTTTTGGACCATATCAAATAGGTTTTGATTTGCTCTTACATTCTCATTATTCTCTAAATAGTGTGTAACTGGAATTTCACTACTTCTCAGCTAAGGACTATTTACAAATATTTTAAATTCCTGAAAAAAATCAGTTTTTATTTCCAACTGTACATGAATTTCTATATTTATAGCTCTGAGGATAATGAATGTTAACCTTTAGTCTATTCCTACTTTTGTAACTTGAGGTTTTCTTTTGTAACCTAACCAGTATATGGTCAATTTTAATAAATATTCTAACGCATAGAAAATGAACTTATTATTTACTTAGATCTTCTACATCTTAGTTTGTCTATTAGATCTATTAATGATTGAGACAATTAGGCTAAAATCTTATTGTTATTCTTTTTGACAATTTCTCCCTTTATTTGCTAAAGTTACAACCTCGTACCAGTTATTTGGCCTAAGGGTTCATGCCAGTTCTACCTTTATTGACTACAGACATCATTATGAAGTCAATTTATTTATCTTGGTGTTTTCCTTCAATTCAACTTGTAGACTTTAACTGGAAATTAAGATGTACATAAGTTATAAACAGTATTAGCCTCCCCTATACCTTATATTTTGGAGACAGGAACAGCAACCCACCGTATTCTTGCCTGGAGAATCCCATGGACAGAGGAGACTGTTAGGCTATGGTCCATGGGGTCACAAAGAGTCGGGCACGACCGAGCGACTAACACACACACACACACACCCCTTCTATTTATATAAAGAGGCAAATTTAAATGTTATTTATTAAATAATATGTTAAAAGCAGTGGTTTTCTTTGAGGCTTCTGGATTTTGGCTCTGTTCCTCATCAAGAACATATCTTAAATTCCCTGCAGTTTCTCCAACAAATGGTGCTAGGAAAGTTGTACAGCCCTATGAAGTTACAACATACCCCCTCACCATCCACAAAACTCAAAATGCCTTAAAGGCTTAACATGAGACACCATAAAACTCTTTAGAAAAGATCATAGGCAAAATGTTCTCTGACATAAATCATACCAATGTTTTCTTAGGTCAGTCTCCCAAGGTGATAAAAATAAAAACAAAAATAAACAAATGGGACCTAATCAAACTTACAAGCTTTTGCACAGCAAAAATCATAAGCAGAAAGAAAAGACAACCCACAGAATGGAAGAAAATATTTGCAAACAATGCAATTCACAAGGGATTAATGTCCAAAACACACACACAGCTCATATGACTCAACAACAAAAACAAACCCATAAAAAAACGGGCAGAAGATCTAAACAGGCTGACATATCTCCAAATAAAAAATACACATGGCCAACAGGCCTGTGGAAAGATGATCAACATCACTATTAAGAGAAATGAAAATCAAAGCTACAACGAGGTACCACCTTCACACGAATCAGAGTGGCCATCATTAAAAAGCCTAAAATAACAAATGCTAGAGAGGACGTGAAAAAAAGGAACCCTCTACACTGTTGGTGGGAATGTAAGTTGGTACAATCACTGTGAAAAACAATATGGGGGTTTCTCAGGAAAACTAAAAATATGACCCAGTAATCCCACTCCTGGGCATGTATCCAGACCAAAATAGAATTCAAAGAGACACATCACCACTAGGTTCACCGCAGCACCGTCCACAATAGCCATGATGTGGAAACAACCGAAATGGCCACTGACAGATGAATGGATAAGAAGATATGGTACATATATGCAATGGAATACTACTCAGTCATAAAACAGAATGAAATAACGCCATCTGTAGCAACATGGACGCAACTAGAGATTATCATACTAAGTGAGGTAAGAGAAAAAGACAAATACCATATGATATCACTTATATGTGGAATCTAAAATATGAGACAAATGTACCTGCCTATGAAACAGAATCATTGGTACAGAAGACACACCAGTGCTTGCCAAGGGGGAGGGGGCTGGGGAAGGGATGGAGGGGGACACAGGGGTTAGCAAATGTAAGCTTTTATATATAGAGTGGATAAACAACAAGGTCCTACTGTACAGCAGAAAGCTGTATTCAATATCCTATGGTAAGCCATAATGGAAAAGAATATTTTAGAAAAAGAATGTATTAAAAAAAAAGAAAGAAAGAAAGAACATACCTTCAATTCCCTGAGAATGGTTAGTATTCACAATAAAGAGAAGAATGAGGTGGGGTGGGCTAAGGGGCAAAACGCAGAAGACTGGCCTTAGTTAGTAATCCTTTTCTACTCCCATTCCAGTTTTTTCTAGCAGTTTCCCAAATCTTGTCATTATGCTGATGCTAAATGAATTTCTTTATAAAACATAAAAATTTTATTTTCTATTCCCAGATCTTTTACCACTTAAAATCCCAATCCAGGTTAGAAACACTTCTCCATGTTTCTTCAATTAAAATATATACTAATGAGAAACCAATAATTTATATTGTGTATGTGGCAAGGGAAGGGGCTGGAGGCTGAGTAGAACAGAGACAGAAAAGAAGAGATATTTTTTATTACACACTTTTTATTAATAGTTTTTGATTTTTGAAGAATGTGAAGTTATTATTTTTAAATATGTAATTAATAGAAACTTTAAAACTGTACAGAAACCAGTTTAAAATAGAATTCTGCTTACCAGTCATATTTTCATCCAATGGAAGAGAGACTCCTACATCACAGATTTTAATTGTTTCAAAATCACCTTTAATAACAACATTTGAAGACTTTATATCTCCATGGAGCAGTTTCTTATCTTGGTGCAGATACTAAAATAGTGAAAAATTTAAAACATCTGAGCAAAAATACAAACTAATAAAAAAGTGTATAACTTTCAAACAAAAATAACAACCTGAACTCCCTGCCTAACATACAGACTTCTATCTGTCTATCATTTCAAACTATTTGATGCTAGAGAAGGGACCATCCCATGCCATCTCTTAGTCTACCATACTCACCAGAAATCTGAAAGATTCTTTGGAAATTGATGTCTATTTACAGATAAGCCGACTTTTAATTTTCAAGCCAACCTCACATACTTATACATCAAAGACTGATACTGCAGATTTCAAAATGTACTACAATTTTACAAAATGTACAATTATTTTAGAAATAATTTTGTAACCTTCACAATGACAGTTTCTGCAAACAAATTATTGAGATAATGCTACACATACTTCACAAGAAGAGGAAGCAGTAATGTAATCTAAGGCTATACTTTAACACTTTCTTAGAAATGACAAGTGACAATATTCATCCATAATCAAAAACATCCTACAAAACAGTTATTTTTTCATTCATCAGCATTTAGGCATCTACACTCCATGACTTGGGCCTGCAAAAGATGCAGAAACAATTCTTGGTATTGAACTTGGAACACTTACTGTGCTTACTTAAATGCTGTTAACCATAAATTGAATATGCTCAAATATATTTATAATGTAATTTATTAAATCTATTATACACACACATTTAAAATAATTATTAAATTAAAATTATTACCTTATCCGACCTATTTAATTATTAAATAGGTTTTCTATAGCATATTAAAGTATATATTTAAAAATACATATATATATTTAGAAATACTGCCTTTTTCCATTTTCACATTTTATGAATCAACTTTATTTGAACTCAACATGCAACTCTTGACATCACTACATTACATAATCTGTTTTTTGAGTCATCCAACAATTTTCTGGAGCCGTGATTACTTAAGTTATTCAGGATACAGAATTTTTATTTCTAACAGTATGTCTAACTCAAAGATACAATAATTTATTTGTATAACCCTGAAAGGGTTTTTTCATTTGACCTATAGATGCATATAAACAATGTCTAATAACATCCCACAAAGCAGTCTTTGAAAGGCTTGTTTACAGCAACAGAGGGTTAGAATATACCCCCAGGAATAATGACTAAATAACAGTCCAATTAACTAAATCTAACATGCAATCTCTATAAGCAAAACTTCCCGACATGGGTTATTTCAGGCCATGTGAATGTGTGAAGGCCTCTAACAATACTTTGTTGATCAAAACAAAGATTTAAGGCAACTCCCTCTCTTGGAAAAAAAAAATTTTCACCTTGTAACTAGGTATATTAGTATCTGTCCATCATAGATGAATAGATAAAGAAAATGTGGTATACACACACATACACAATGGAGTATTACTCAGCCATTAAAAAGAATGAAACAATGTCATTTCTAGCAACATGGATGGACTTAGTCATACTAAGTCAGAAAGACAAATACTATATGATATCACTTATATGTGGAATATAAAACACACAAATGAACTTATTTACAAAGCAGAAACAGACTCACAAATATAGAGAACAGAGCTGTGGTTGACAAGGGGGAGGCTGGGTGAGAGAGGGAAAGATTGGGAGTTTGGGATTAGCAAATGCAAACTACCATATATAGGATGGACATACAACAATGTCCTGCTGTAAAGAACAGGAAATTAAATTTAATATCCTGTGATAAACTACAATGGAAAAGAATATGAAAAAGGAGATATAACTGAGTCACTTTGCTGTACAGCAAAAATTAAACACAACATTGTAAATAATTTCATTTTTTTAGGTTCCACAAAACTCATTCAAAACATAATAGCATAGTTACCTTTAACCCTCTTGCCATGTTCAAAGCAACTTTTAAAATTATGGCTGCTGGAAAAGGATCTCGGCTATCTTTATTTCGTTCTTCTATTAAGTCATTCAGAGACTTTTCACCTCCATATTCCATAGCAAGACACAGACTGCCATCGCTAGCTTTAGTGAAAGCACGGTAACCTTAAAGAAAACACGTCATTTTCTTATTGGAGTACAGAAAAACAAAAGTATTAATTCTTTTACAGTAATGTGACTGAAAACAGATCTGGATCAACACTGTCAAATACAAAATGAAACACCTAGTGCTTATAAAACTTGTTTAGTAGATCTAATTTTAAATGCCTTCAGTGTTTGCCAACAGTATCACAAATTGAAATATTTTTTAATACTCTATGCCTTCCTCAGAGAAGGCAATGGCACCCCACTCCAGTACTCTTGCCTGGAAAATCCCATGGATGGAGGAGCCTCGTAGGCTGCAGTCCATGGGGTCGCGAAGAGTCGGACACGACTGAGCGACTTCCCTTTCACTTTTCACTTTCATGCATGGAGGAGGAAATGGCAACCCACTCCAGTGTTTTTGCCTGGAGAATCCCAGAGACAGGGGAGCCTGGTGGGCTGCTGTCTATGGGGCCGCACAGAGATGGACATGACTAAAGCGACTTAGCAGCAGCAGCAGCAAGTCTTCCTAAATATAATGGTTTCACCAGCCTTACTTATATTAAAAATGAAAAAAGGAAATTACATAAATGAAGATTTTACATTCCTGGATTCTCCATGGTATCAATACCATAATGACTATATCTATTGCATGAAGTTTTAAATATATACTTCAGTTCAGTTGCTCAGTCATGTCCAAGTCTTTGCGACCCCATGGACTGCAGCACTCACCAACTCCCAGAGTTTACTCAAACTCATGTCCATTGAGTCAGTGATGCCATCCAACCATCTCATTCTCCGTTGTCCCCTTCTCCTCCCGCCTTCAATCTTTCCCAGCATCAGGGTCTTTTCAAATGAGTCAGTTCTTCATTTCAGGTGGCCAAACTATTAGAGTTTCAACTTCAGTATCAGTCCTTCCAATGAATATTTAGGACTGATTTTCTTTAGGATGGACTAGTTGGATCTCCCTGCAGTCCAAGGGACTCTGAAGTCTTCTCCCAACACCGCAGTTCAAAAGCATCAATTCTTTGGCACTCAGCTTTCGTTATGGTCCAACTCTCATATACATGACTACTGGAAAAACCATAGCTTTGACTAGATGGACCTTTGTTGGCAAAGTAACGTCTCTGCTTTTTAATATGCTGTCTAGGTTGCAAGCGTCTTTTAATTTCATGGCTGCAGTCACATCTGCAGTGATTTTGGAGCCAAAAAAAAACAAAGTCTGTCACTGTTTCCCTATCTATTTGCCATGAAGTAATGGAACTGGATGCCATGATCTTAGTTTTCTGAATGTTGAGCTTTAAGCCAACTTTTTCACTCTTGTCTTTCACTTTCATCAAGAGGCTCTAATTTAGTTCCTCTTCACTTTGTGCCATAAGGGTGGTGTCATCTGCATATCTGAGGTTATTGATATTTCTCCCAGCAATCCTGATTCCATCTTGTGCTTCATCCAGCCCAGCATTTCTCATGATGTACTCTGCATATTCAAATTGCCAACATCCGCTGGATCATTGAAAAAGCAATAGAGTTCCAGAAAAACATCTACTTCTGCTTATTGACTATGCCAAAGCCTTTGACTGTGTGGATCACAATAAACTGTGGAAAATTCTGAAAGAGATGGGAATACCAGACCACCTGACCCACCTCTTGAGAAACCTATATGCAGGTCAGGAAGCAACAGTTAGAACTGGACATGGAACAACAGACTGGTTCCAAATAGGAAAAGGAGTACATCAAGCCTGTATATTGTCACCCTGCTTATTTAACTTATATGCAGAGTACATCATGAGAAACGCTGGGCTGGAAGAAGCACAAGCTGGAATCAAGATTGCCGGGAGAAATATCAATAACCTCAGATATGCAGACGACACCACCCTTATGGCAGAAAGTGAAGAGGAACTAAATTAGAGCCTCTTGATGAAAGTGAAAGACAAGAGTGAAAAAGTTGGCTTAAAGCTCAACATTCAGAAAACTAAGATCATGGCATCTGGTCCCATCACTTCATGGGAAATAGATGAGGAAACAGTGGAAGCAGTGTCTGACTTTATTTTTTTTGGCTCCAAAATCACTGCAGATGGTGATTGCAGCCATGAAATTAAAAGACGCTTGCAACCTAGACAGCATATTAAAAAGCAGAGACATTACTTTGCCAGAAAAGGTCCGTCTAGTCAAGGCTATGGTTTTTCCAGTGGTCATGTATGGATGTGAGAGTTGGACTGTGAAGAAAGCTGAGTGCCGAAAAATTGATGCTTTTGAACTGTGGTGCTGGAGAAGACTCTTGAGAGTCCCTTGGACTGCAAGGAGATCCAACCAGTCCATCCTAAAGGAGGTCAGTCCTGGGTGTTCATTGGAAGGACTGATGCTGAAGCTGAAACTCCAATACTTTGGCCACCTCATGAGAAGAGTTGACTCATTGGAAAAGACCCTGATGCTGGGAGGGATTGGGGGCAGGAAGAGAAGGGGATGACAGAGGATGAGATGGCTGGATGGCATCACCAACTCGATGGACATGAGTTTGAGTAAACTCCGGGAGTTTGTGATGGACAGGGAGGCCTGGTGTGCTGTGATTCATGGGGTCGCAAACAGTCAGACACGACTGAGCGACTGAGCGACTGAACTGACTGACTGACTCTGCATATAAATTAAATAAGCAGGGTGACAATATACAGCCTTGACGTACTCCTTTCCCAATTTGGAACCAGTCTATTGTTCCATGTCCAGTTCTAACTGTTGTTTCCTGACCTGCATACAGGTTTCTCAGGAGGCAGGTCAGGTGGTCTGGTATTCCCATCTCCAAGAATTTTCCAGTTTGTTGTGATCCACACAGTCAAAGGTTCTGGTGTAGTCAATAAAGCAGAAATAGATGTTTTTCTGGAACTCTCTTCCTTTTTCAATGATCCAACGGATGTTGGCAATTTGATCTCTGGTTCCTCCTCCTTTTCTAAATCCAGCTTGAACTTCTGGAAGTTCATGGTTCACGTACTGTTGAAGCCTGGAGAATTTTGAGCATCACTTTGCTAGCATGTGAGATGAGTGCAATTGTGTGGTAGTTTGAGCATTCTTTGGCATTGCCTTTCTTTGGGATTGGAATGAAAACTGACCTTTTCCAGTCCTGTGGCCACTGCTGAGTTTTCCAAATTTGTTGCATCTAAAAATATACTTTTTTTTTTTTCTGGCCAAGCCACACAGCTTATAGGATCTTAGGTCCCTGATCAGGAATCAAACCAACACCCCCCAGCAGTTGAAACACAGAGTACTAATCACTAGATTACCAGGGAAGTCCCACTAATTTTTATTTCAGAATGTTTACATTAATTCGATTCTTGCCAAACTTCATCACGCCCTTCATTTTTTATTAGTGTAAGCAGTTAAAATATGTAAACCATTTCTGGATAAACAAGATACTATACCAGATAAATGGTATTAAGTAAATGTGAACTTACCTATAATGTTTGGGTGGTTGAGGCTTTTCAAAATCTTAGCTTCATCAGTTAGTCTCTTTTGATACATACTCTGATAATCATCATTACATCTAGGATTAATCTTTTTCACAGCCCAAGGAGAATGAGACAAACCTCTTGGAGATCTTAAAAAAATAAGTAACCAAAAATGTACAGAAAGATTAATACATAATACAGTTCAAATGACTAATAAGAACTTTCACATTTTGAAAAAGACTTGAGAGTATTTTAGGTTTTTTTTAAATTTTTAAATTTTTAGACTATTAACATTTCTGTTATACATTCTTTTTAACTGTGTCATACAACTGATAAATCTACTGATTACAAGAGAAGTCTGATATTGGAAGGGAAGGGTTAAAAAGAGAAAACTAGAAGGAAAAAGATGAAATGTTATAGATTTTAAACTTCAAAATTTCTATAGTATTTTCTAATTTTTTCATTCAATCATGTCAAACTACCAACTACTTAAAAAGCATTTAACTATATATACCAGATATAAATTATAGAATGTTAAAGCAATAAACATTAATGTCTAAGAAACAATTTAAAGAAGACATGTACAAAATACATTTGGCTCCTGTGTAATCATGCAAATAATAGACTGTTTTTTACCAACAAATATTGTGGCTCTAACGGACACACCAATTCATCTGATATACTACTCACCATATACATGTGTTTAGGGAGAAAATAATAAACATATGAATAGGGAAAAAAATGTAAACTGTTTTCTAGGAAGAAGCAGCTGTTTAAGAACACGTAAGGTATAAATGTTTTGAGGTCTAAATAAACAAACAGGTAAAATGAAGTCAGGGAAAGGTTTGTTCACCCCATAAGGTAGGCATTTATGAGTATGGCCAATTACAAAGAACACAGTGTAGGCAACATTTGGGCACAAAAGTCAAAAAGCCTCAAATGTTAAAGATTGAAAGTTCAACCATAAGAACATAAAACGAGATGGAACCAAGAATCCATTTAGCTCTGTACTACCTCATGAGCACAGCTCTGTGACTGCAGGACCTTTTTTTTAACATCAGGAAACATATATTCAAAGGATCATTAGATTTCTCAATTCACATACATCTATCATGTGTAAGTGTACTTAAACTATTCTTAAACCTCCAGTTTTAGTTAACAATAGCATTTGGGAATAACCTCTTCCATGTTCTTTTAATATAAAGATTTATTTTTCAAGTTTCAAGGGGTACCCCATAGCTCTTGATTATTTATAATTCAGTAAGCAAGTCCATCTTCAGCTTTTTCGTATATCTTAACCTATTTATATCCTATCCTATCCTAACCCTGTAGGTTACAGAATGAAAAGGATATTATTTATGTAATCTGAATAAAATGTTGCCAAGTTAAAAGATGGTTCACGGAAAAGACTAATACAACAGGCAAATTTCTGTTGAGACTGCACAAGGAAAAAAACAAAAGGAGACACAAACAATACTGCCAACAAAAATGGGGACATATTCAGCAGAGATTTAAAAAATATTCAAGTGAATACTAAAACGTTTAAGCCAATAAAAAGGTAAAATGGACAAATTCTTTAAAAAAGTTAAGAAAACTGATGAAAGAAGAAACATAATCAAGAGTTTAAAAATCTTCCCACAAGAAATACAAAACATAGACCATTTTAGAGTTGAGTTTACTAAACTATAAAGAAACACTCCATTTCATACAAACCATTCCAGGGAATAGAGTGAAAAGGGACTATGAATCTAGCATAACTTTAATTAAAAAAAACAAAAATCAAACAGGGACAACAGAAAAAGAAAAATCACAAGCCAATTTCACTTAGAGATGTAAAAATTCTAAACAATAGCAAAATGATTCTATCAGTTTATTAAAAAATAATAATACATCACAGCTATGTTGGGTTTAATCCAGCAGTGCAAATTTAACAGTAAATAATATATACTCTGAATTAAAATGAACATACACATAACAAATTTGATCCCTCTCAGGTACCACTGAAATAAAAACCTCAGTTTGAAGACTAAAGACTTGACTTTGAGAGAGAAAAAGCAGAAGGTATTTAGCCTGAGGTAGACTGACACAGCTGAGAACCTGCGGCCTATGCAGGAACAGAGTGATGCATGACCAAATGCGCCTGAAGTGCTCAGCGAGTTTTCACACATGAACATACCTGTGTTATCAACATCCAGTTCAAGATATACATGTCTAGCATCCCCACAAGATATGGGATGCCATCTTAAAAAGGAAAACTGTTTGAGATAATAATAATTAAAAACAAGATAATAATTTAAAACAAAATAATTAAAAACAAGATAGACAAAAATGAAAAGCGAAATAGAAGTATCAGAAAATGAAGTTGGGAAAATTTCTGAGAAAATATTAATAGAACAAAAAGAGAAAACAGAAAAACAGACCAAAAATAAAATAAAGGTAGATCAAAGATTTGAGACAGTCAATTCCTAGGCAGGTTGATAAGAAGTCTAAGGGTCACCATGGAGAGAGGTGTCTGGAATTCTCAAGGAGGAAGAAACAACAAACTTTTTTTTCCCTTCTACATTCCTTAGGATGATATAACAATAATGTATCCTGCTTGAGGACTGTCTCTGGAAAAAACCTTCTGGCTAATTCTGTTAAATCATGGGAGTAGGTCTGGTGAGGTCTTTACAACCTCTAGACACTCCTTTGATTCACTGTAATAACTAATTGGAGAGTATATAATTCCAGTGCTAAGGCTAGCAAGTGGGTACTCTTTCTACCCGCTTCAGATGTCTATGTCAGAAGCTTTCTCTATCTCCTTTATACTTTAATAAAACTTTATCACACAAAAGCTCTGCGCGATCCAGCCTTGTCTCTGGCCCCAGATTGAATTCTTCTCCTCCGGTGGCCAAGAACCCCGGTGTCTTTGTGTGATTCAGAAACAACCTTTCAGATTGGGCCAGTAAATCCCACATCCAAATAATAGGAGTTCCAAGACAGAGAACAGAAAAATAGGGGTGAAAATGATCAACAAAGTAATTTTTAAAAATAACCTCTCAAAAATTCAATAGCAATTTTCAGGTTCCAAGAGGCCCATACCCATGCATGTCACTGTGAAATTCAGAACAGTGGTGACAAACAGAAGACCATATAAGGTTCCGAGAGAGCAGGAGGAAGAGATAACATAGAGCAGAAACATCAAGACTCAGCAGTCAGAGAGGCTTCAGAATTCTCAACAGCAGCAACTGAACCATGTTCTCAAAATCCTAGGGAAAACATACTTCTGAATGAGAATTCTGACCTAGAAAAACAAAAAAGGCCACTCAAGTACAAGTATAAAGTGAAAACATTTTTAGAAAAGTAAATTCTCAAAAATGTATCTTCTGTGCATCTTTTCATGGGGCACTAGCAAATGTCTTCAGCCAGATGATATGTAAACCAAGAAATACTAAGAGGTGAAATAAGAAAAACAGAGGATCCAATTCACCAGAGATGCCAAGGAAATCTCTAGGCTACTATAAAGGAAAATCCCAAGCTAACAGAGCCACATGGAGGACTGGGAGGGTCAGGCGGGAACTGCTACTGCCAATGAAGTTTTCTAATTAAGTCACATACAGTGTAACTTTGTTAACAACACACTCCACATTCTTAAAAAAACTTTTTTAAGGAAAAAAATGAGACTAGCCACAAAACTGTGATAAGTTTTTCTTTCAAAATAACTTAAAACAACAGTTTTAGACATTAAGAAATGGAAGTTCACAAAACTAACAGCAGACAAACACACAAAAGGGGGTGTTTAAGCTGCAAAGACGCTTCAAGAAGACCCACTTATATAAAACCACTATACTAGTCTCAATTCACCAACTTTTTATTCAAGTAAGTATTTCTATTTGGAAACAACATAAACCTAGAGAAGCTAATGATATGCTGCCCTGGACTAATCAGGCTAATTCCTAGGGAGCACTAAACAGTACATAACTGTTTGGCACTTCATAAACATGAAACTAGGTACAGAGTAATGAATAAAAGAAACAACTCTGTAAAAATGTGTTTGTTGTCATATGTAATATTATTGGCTACTAGCATCTATTCTAGTATTCCATTTTTCTTTTAATAATACAATTTTCCTACTTTAGAATCAGGTATTTGCCCTTCTCACTTAACAATGATGACATAAATAAAATAAAAATATTTACTTCTTTAGAAGAGAATATCCTGAGAAGGCAACTCTCCAGATAGAAGGGATTAACAGTCACTGGTATCTCCCAACACTGGTATCCTCTTTGAAGTTTTCTTATTGAGAATTCTGTGTTATTATCACACAGGAATCCCTTTCCTCTGTCATTTCCCCCTCCTACACAAGCCAAGGAAAATTTACAAATTACCTGTCTTTTAATAATCCATTAAGAGGAAGCTAAGAGAAAGATGTACCAGGTAGAGCTCTGGCAAAAATATGAACATACCCCAGATCTAAATATTTGAATTTTCACATTCCTTTTTGTCTCTAAGTACAGTAGAACTATGGTTCCATGTAAAAATGTTAACGTGAAATCTTATACTCACCTTTGCATAAGGTAGACATTTACGCCAGTACCAAAGCCAAGCTTCTGCATAAATGGAGAGGCAGGAATATGTACACATGGAGTTAAACATAATGCTAAATGTCAGAAAGAGAAATAAAAGATAAAATTAGTATTTGAAAAGACCTCCACAGATGCACCCTAACGTTCTCAACAAATCATTGTTAAGAGAATTAACTGGCAAAGTCTTGCAAAGCAATTTGACACTATGTGTCCTAACTTTCAATGGATACCCTTTGACCAAGTCTACTTTTGGAGCTCTATTCTACAGTAACACTTAAACAGGGGTCAGCAAAACAGCCTGTTTTTATATGACCCATAAGCTAAGAATTGATTTTTACATTTTAAAAGGGTTGTTAAAAAATAGATAAAGAAGGTCTCTTGGCTGAATCCTTAGACTTCATGACTCTCTTCCAACATGGCCCAAGACAACTATCCAGACAACACCATGGCAACAAAGTATAAACAGAAGCTATACCAAATTCACAGATCAACTGAAAACCCTCATCAGCACTTTTAACCAAAAACCTTATCCAGATTATGCTACCAAATGAAGACTTGCCTTTAATAACACTGAAAAGCCTAGAATCCAGATTTGGTTTCAGAATCAAAGACCTAGAACTGATTCCAGAAAAGATAAGAACCTGAGGATGACTTTGAATCAAGCCAACACCAAGATCACCCTGAAGAGCAGATTCAAAGTAGAAAAGACAGAGAGAGTCAAACTAGCTACGCTCCTCTCAATTACACACCCTCATCAAGGCATTTATGCACAACTCTTATCATGGAATGGATTCCAGAGAGCAACTTGCTAAAGAAGCCAGGGTTACAGAGTCAAGAATTCAAATCCGGTTTCAAAACAGAAGAGCTAGATTCCATGTCCAGAAAAGAACCCAAGGAGGCCTTAGAACAAAGACAATTAGGGACAAGATCCTGGAGATGAGAGAATCCAAGGTACAGACACCACACAGAATGGCAGCAGTCTCACCAGGGACTGTCTTATTCCTCTGGAGCCAGAACAGGGGACACAGAGACAGATTCAGTGTACTTGATAACATTAACCTGGATTCTAAACCTCTAACTCTTCCTGGAACATACCCTTCTAAACACACCTTCAGCTTCTCCAGGAGCTGAGCCTTCTGGAGACAGTAAACAGGACTTCAGGAGACAGAGACACATACAAAGCACCACAAAGAAAATAAATTTATTAATATTTTTCAGCAATCACAGTAATGCTAATTTAGGCAAAAAGCAAGGAAAGAAGGGAGGAAGGGAGGGAGGCAGGCAAGGAAGAAAGAAGAAAGGAAGAACACTATGCCAAAAGGGTTCCTATATGACCCACAAAGCCTAAACCATTTACTGTCTGCCATTTACAAAAAGTGTGCTAATGCCTGCACTACAGCATGCAGCCAAAGACACCATATACACACGTGAATGCACGCATGCATGTGAATAGTGGGATCTGCTTTTGTGACTACAAAAAAAAAAAGAGAAAAGCCTAACAGTAATCATCATTAGAGTCATAATTATAGCATATCTATATTACAAAATAGTATAAGGTTATTAAAAGAGATGAGATAGAGTAGTCCTACTTTTGCTCATGAACAATTAACTGCTCTTGCCCTTTTGCCATGAACAACTAGAAAATCTGACAAAGTATAATGGTTTTCACATACTTGACAATAGGCAGGGCAGGACTATAAACTCTGAAAGGAGAGAAACTAATGAGATGAGTCCTACCACTGCCCTAACCTACTGCTTAGAGACACTTTCCAGGCTGAAGCACAAAGAAAGGAAGCCCAAAGGTCTTGTCAAATTGAAGTGACAGATTACCCTCTGTCTACTGAATTGCCTTGGAAAATACCCTTCCCATATATAGAGGGGGAAAGATAAAGTAGTTCCTTTGAGGTTCAAATTAAGTTGCTTCTTCACCAGGGAGAACCTACAATTCTGCTAGAATGTCAATAAAATTAGATCACAGATGACCAAACTCTGACCTATAAAAGAAGTCTTATTTCTTAAGATCAACATTATAAAGATAACTTATACTAAAATTGTTCCTGTGTGATAGATAACAATGAAAGGATTAAACTATAATACTATGAAGACATTTCTGCTATCAGTAACAATGAAGAAAGGTTTTATATCTTACCAGATTTCCTTTTTTCAGATAATCTGCTTGGTGTCTTGAAATTATTGGTTTCTTCCATTGTAATAATCACTTAAGGTCCTATGATAAAAATAAATAGAAAGGTACACTGCAGTTATAAAAAATACATCTTTCATTCATGAAGGAAAAATTCCTATAATACTGTCACTCATTTACAAAAAATTTGAGAACTGAAAAAGACCATGACAAATGTTTAGTCCAATTGTATTGACAATGAGAAAACTGAAACCCAGAGAGGGAGAAAGATAAAGTAAAAGTAAAATTACTTACCCAAGGTCATGCTATTAATGATTGTAGGTCTTTATTTAAAAAATAATGTATGCACTTGGTTAAAAAAAAGAAAAAATGACTAGCACCCTCCCACACTTCCCAGGAGTAATTATTAACAGATTTTTTATATGGTTTTAAGAGCTTGGCTTTGTAGGCAGTATTATTCATAACAGTCAAAAAAAGGAAACAAATAGCTATCAGATAATGAATGGAGAAAGAAAATATGGCATACACTACACACAATAAAATATTATTTAACAGAGTATATAGTCTACATAGAGAATATTATTTAGTCATAAAAAGGAATGAAGTACTCATATATACTACAACATGAAAGAATCTTGCAAACCTTATGCCAAGTGAAAGAAAGCAGACACAAGAGGCCACGTATATGATTGTTTTTCCACACAATATCCAGAAGAGGCAAATCCAGGCACAAAATAAATGAGGAGCTGCCGTGGGCTGAAGGGAAGAGAGAATGTGGAGTGAGAGCTCTGGTGTATGCCTTCTTTTTTGGGGTGACGAAAATGTTCTAAACTTAGGTAGTGGTTTAATATATTCAACTCCATTCCAAAAACCACTTAATTGTACACTTTCAAAAGAGTGAATTTCATGATATGTTAATTACATCTCAATAAACTATGAGTTTAAAATTATCTATGAAAATACAGTGTACATACACAAACAAGTTAATCCAGGCTTTTTTTTTCTTCCGTAACATATTTCTTAAAAATTCTTTTTTATTAAAAAAAATTTTCTTTTGAAATAAGGTTTGGTTTTGTATTAGATTTACTGTAAAGCAAACTGTTCCTACCTGTCTATAAGCTCGTTTGGACTGTCTATAAAAAACTAGGAGGAAGACAGAACATTGTGATTAAATGCTGCATTGAGCCATTTAATATCCCTTAATAAAGAGCACCTGGGCTTCCCATGTGGCATTAGTGGTAAAGAATCTGCCTGCCAATACAGGAGGTTCGATCCCCAGGTCGGGAGAATCCCCTGGAGGAGAAAACAGCAAACAACTCCAGTATTCTTGCCTGAAGAATCCCACGGACAGAGGAGCCTGGCGGGCTCCTAAGGCGCTTCCGTAAAAAGCACAGAGTGTCAAGCTCTGATTTGAGAAAAGAGCGATTTCTTTCTTCCAATCCCCACCCTACCCCGTAAGTCTGATGCGTACTCGGGTCTCCAAGATGCTTCTTAAGATAATTCCCAGTTTAACGCCATATTCCCAACGTCTTCCACCTTCCTTTCAGGCCCCAAGTTGTCAAAAAAGCAAAGAGGCCGCGGCTCGAAGGCGCGGGACCCCCGGCCAGGCCCACTCGCGGCAGGACCCCTAAAAGCTCTCTCCTTACCAGAACCACGAGGTGGGACGACGAGACGTCCACGGAAAGGCTGTCTTGAAAACTGGTCCCGAGCGGCCCCCAACACTCCGCGGCCGCCAGGGGTGAGGGGGTGGAGTCCGACCAGCCAACACAAGAACTCGGCTACCGTTGTTCCAAAGGGAACCCGCCGGGCTTTCAAAATCGCGCACGCACCGCCCCTACGTCGATCGCGAACTACGGGGCGGCGCAAAGGACACACCAAGCCGGATTCGCCGTTCCTGTTCTTTTTCAGTCCTTTCATTCTGTTCATCGATCCCACCTTACTACCCAATAGGGATACTTTGAAGCCAAATAAAAGGTAGAGAAGCGCAGCAAAGGACGATCTGACTTTTACAGCCACTGTCGGCCTTTCAGAGGGACAACTTCAGTTAAAAAGAAAATATATGCCTGTATTTAGGCTGAAATCCTTTCCCAATTAGCGAACGCTGTGCCCAGAATATGTGATGGTTCTTTTGTCATTTTTATTACAAATGTGGCCTTGAAACACTATAACTAAAAATGCACTTGTCTTGAGTAGCAACATAGATACTCAGAAATTTTGCTACCTCTTGTAATCACTACGTTCAGTTCAAGTGAAAGTGCAAGTCGCTCAGTCGTGTCCGACTCTTTACGACCCCATGGACTATACAGTCCATGGAATTCTCCAGGCCAGAATACTGGAGTGGGTAGCCTTTCCCTTATCCAGGGGATCTTCCCAACCCAGGGATCGAACTCAGGTCTCCCTCATTGCAGGCGGATTCTTTACCTGCTGAGCCACAAAAGGATATGTTCATTTATTCAATAAATATTTAGAGAGCATCTTCCCCCTTCTCTGGGGGATCTTCCCCATCCAGGAATCGAACCCAAGTCTCCTGCATTGCAGGCAGATTCTTTACTGTCTGAGCCACCAGGAAAGCCCAGAGAGCACCTACTATGTGCTGGATGTGCATCGAATGCCCACTGCAGAAGATATACTATAGCAGTCACTAAAAGGGACGCAAAGATGATTAAGTCACAGAGCCCCCTCCTGCTCAGGAGGAGCTTAGGCAGAGGGGGATGAGGGAAGGGTAGGGAAGTGTCCAAAGAAAGAAACACACACACAACACAATACAAAGCAGACTATAATGTAGGTAACTATAGTAGTAAGGCCCATTTCTTGCAAATGAGGAAACTCAAATGGCACAGAGAGGTTAAGTAATTTGCCTAAAGTCACAGAGCCAATAAACGGTAGAGTCAGGATTTGAATTCATGCATAATTTAGAGTTCCTCTTTAATAAATGCGTTCAAAACCTCTTCCATCTTATACACACACACACACACACACACACACGTCTCCACCTTCAGGGTCCTCCCATTTTTGGCCACCCTCCCCTAAGCAGAAACGGTCTCTTTCTGTGTGTGTGTTCAGTTGCTCAGCCATATCCCACTCTTTGCCACCCCATAGACTGTACCCCACCAGGCTCCTCTGTCCATGGGATGTTCCAGACAAGAATACTGCAGTGCGTTGCCATTTCCTCCTTCAAGGGATCTTCCCAACCCAGGGATTGAACTGCATCTCCTGCATTTGCAAGTGGATTCTTTATCATTTAAGCCACCTGGGAAGTACCTTCCCTCTATTTTCAATCTGCTATTTTTTGCAGAGGCATAATATACACCTCATCATCTTTTTAAAAAAAAATACCTATAATTTGCTATGCTTTTTGTTAAGTTCTACAATTTTACAAGCTCTCTGTTTTCTATTTTTATGGCTAATAAAGCCAGAGCCTGACAGCGTCTTAATTAAGCACTGCCTGTGCAAAGAAACCCTGGGGAGATGAGGATGTTGACACAGGTGTCAGATGAAGCAGAAAATAGTCACAGGAATGAAGGCCCTTGGGTAAAGACTTATAACCATCCTGTTCCCCATCTTATAACTATAAGCACCTCCAGAGATTATCGGAAGAAACATCTGAACTTCACAAGCTTAATGTTATTGCCTGTGAAATGTAATCATTAATCTCAAAATCTTGCACCCCAGTCAGTTGTCATAGGAAACAGTTTCCAACCTGAATGGGTAATTTCTCCCAGAGTATAAGTGGCCTGGATTCCCCGGCTTAGGCAAAAGAGACCCAAACTCTGTATTTGATTCTTGGTTGGTTATGCCCAAAGGAACATTTGCATCCTCATCTTTCTATGGAATAAACTTCAACTTCTGCTCCTTTCATCACCTCCCCTTTTTGAGCCTGGTTTGGGGGGGGGGGCGGGAAGGATATTAATTTTTTCCCCTCTTTTCTACTGCTATTGCATTTCAATTTTCTTTGAGGCCGTATGGATACTGCTGATTGGCTAGAAGAATGATGAGAACGTTTAGGGAAGAGGAAGGAAAAAAAAAAAGAAAATTTCAAAATGTGTTCTTCTTCTATCTGTGTATCCAGCCAGTCAACATGTCCCTAGGGAGCTTTATGGCATCCTGAAGCCATTGGGTCCACAGCTGAGGCCACTTGGGTCCCCACCCCACGCCCCATCTTGGTGCTGCTCCTCTGCGTCCCAGTTTTAGTGAGTAGCTCCTCCATCTATCCCCAGGCCCTCAGCCAGGAGCTTCTCTTCTCCTTTATCCATCCCGGTTCTGACAACCCTTCCTTATGGATCTCTTAAATCCCTGTCTTCCTCCCCATTCCACCTTGGGCTATAAACTCTCACTTCTCTCTGTTGGTGACTCCTAATTTACCCCCTTCTTCCTGTCACTCCTGTCTTCCAGGTGATTTTCACACTGCGTCCATGCTAAGTCAATTTAGTCATGACCAACTCTTTTCAACCCCATGGACTGTAGCCCACCAAGTTCCTCTGTCCATGGGATTCTCCAGGCAAGAATACAGGAGTGGGTTGCCATTTTCTCCTCCAGGGGATCTTCCCTGACCCAGAGATCAAACCTGCATCTCCAGCATCTGTTGCATTGGCAGGCGTATGCTTTAACACTGTGCCACCCAGGAATCCCTGATTTCCACTTTGCTGCCTCATTAATCTTCCTGAAATGTAAATCTGGTCATGGCACTCCCCTGTTTGCAATCCTCATTAAGTCCAGGGTGAAAAACAACCCCCCTTAGCATCTGACTGGGTGTCTCTAGCTTGGGTTCCTCTAGCTCTGAATCTGGTCTCCTCTTACCCTGAGTTAAGGTAGTTCCTGGAACACACGTGTTTTCTCATGTCTCCACCACGTGCACATGAGTTCCTCTCTGCCAGGAAAACCCTCCCCCCTTTCCAACTGGCTCAGCATCTACTTATCCTTCAGCTCTCAGCTTAAGTGCTGCCTGCCCCAGGACACACTCTCTAAGGGCCCCAGTCTATGTAATTTCTCCTCTACGATCCCAGAATGCCTTCCAATTCTCTCTAGCCCAACACATACCCCAGTACATTGGAATTTTCTCTCTAC